GAAATGCTACAGGTTATTAGGACAAAAATTAGATAATTAATTATATTTATGCATGATCGACAACTGTCACTACGGATTTTTTTAATCCCTTTAATTTTAGAGTTATTCCGCTAAAATGAATTTGGTACTTTAATGCGCAAAATTCAACATCTCCTGTCGCATGTCACGCGAACTTCAGGCATATAATTGTTTCACAAATTTGGGCGGAGTTTTTAAAAGAGAACTGCTTGGCGGCAGAAATAGGTAAGGTTGAGAATGAATTCTTGCACAATTAGCTCTACTGTGTTAGCGTAACGAATACAAATTAGAACTTGTATCGATTATTGTCATACCTTAAGCACGTTATCGATTCGAACTTATTATTATAATTGAAAGGTTTTTTATATTAATTATATATTTTTTTAAAAGTACGTCTAAATTAATGCCTGCCTGATGTCTTTTCTGTATGTCAGTTTAGCAATAATAACATTTAAAAGTATCTAAATCCCTTTCTAAAAGAAATGCCAATCGGTCTACCAAAAGCGTTAACCAATGAAATCGCAGTCTGTTAACCCACCAAAACGGTGGTGGAGTGAAGCTTGATGGTATGGTCACAAACACTGACTTACAATTATATGGACGTCGGGTCCGCGCTAAAGTGTCCGAACTTATAGGGCGTTAAAATCGTATACAGCGCGTCATTCACACTTTAGTTTTGGTTTGTTCGACTGACAGCGAAGCAAGCAAAATTAGACGGTACTGCGATGATATTACAATTTAAATTCAACGTTTTAGCTTTTTCATATTCCTTTACATGTCACTACGTTTAAATAGGTTGACTTGGGACATTTTTTTGTAAGTGTGTTCGAATTTCCTAGATAGAGGTAATACTGTGAATACTGTGGGTGCCGTATATAAAGGTTGTTAATTTATACAGGTACCTGTATGTACTAACTGTCTTCTTTTATTATGTAATTTAGTAACGAACTATCATGTATATTACTTGCTTAAAAGGAAATAAATGATTGAAAGTGAATTGTATTAAGCTGTTTCCCTTCGTGCCTTAAATGCTACCTTACTTACCCAAGTCTTGACTTGAGAATTTGCTAACAACTGCTACTAAATGGAACAATAACCCGAACAATACGTGTATTTTTCATACCGGTAGCTAGTTTTGTCATGCAACTTACCCTTGAAAAGATTTTGCTCCTTATCTCTCTGAACTGTGGCCCAATTCGCTTCAACACACGAAATATCCCCTGGCGGGTGGTGACGTGACTTTTCATCAGCACGACGCTTGCGTCCAAAAGCGTCTACCTGTGCACAGATACCATAACACATTGATAACAGACAGTTACACTGTTTAACCAGAACTTCAGTAAAAGCATAACTATGATTTAAACTAAATTACAACTGAATCCACAATACGTTATTACTATTGTCAGTTATTATTACTATTCAATAACTGACGTTCTTTAATTTATTTTCTACATAAAGAATGATATGTGGAGTAAAAAAGTGACTTTTTCCATATTTACAGGTTTAGACCGCATTTCTATATGAAATTTGCAATAATGCATATTTTCAATATTACGTGATATTTTATTTGATTAAAAAAAATACATTATAAGAAATTAACAGTGTATTGTGCGGAAGATTAGAAGATAACCTGGACGTGACCTACTCACTTGCGGACTTGTGCAAATTGAAGTTTGCTCCAGTCACATTCAGTGACGTCGGAAGGTCATTCAGCCAGTACAAAGCTTTGTTCTGACCAAAAGACGGAATTTTAATTTTGAAAATTTAAAAAAACATGTAATTGTGTATTGTAACAACAACAGTACCGAAAATTAGGTTGAAGTGGAATAAAATTAGTTCATTTTTTTATAATAAAGCATAGTCTATGTGAAAACAGTTATTTTTGTCTCCATATTTTAAGATTTTTTGCCCATATTGTATGTACATATCTTGTAGTTTATACTGCATATTTATCCGAGCCCTAGTCATTACTGTTACGCAATATTTATGGTCAAGAACTGACGTCACAAAAATCGTAGAAGTGTTTAAAAGTGTCGACGTGATAAGGGAGTCACCACATTTGTGTATCCGCTTGAGCCGGTCAGAAAAATCATCAGATGGACATAAATGTTTTTCTGACCGATTTAATACGATTCTGATAAATATTTCTCCTGGCTCGGGAGTCGAATCCGGAACCTCTGCGTGGCAGAGTTGGTGGCCGTTCGGCCATGGAGGCAGTTAATAAAAAAAATTAAATGTGACAACCCTACGCTCCGTCTACCCTACTTGTCTTATGATAAGGATGACCGAGACGCGACTGGCCGATCAGAGCAAATAAGAGTAGATTTACGTGGATAATTCAGGGGCTCCGATTGGCCGGATGGCGGTCGCGGCGCATTGATAGGGCCGGTACGGTGTGGGAGACAACGTATCGGTACATTTTATTCATTCAATTTTCGATTTTGTGATTCGACTGATATTCTTACTCGCAAGGCAGATAGATGGACATAGGATAAGGTGTTCATCAAAACAAATTTCATGAAAATGTATACAGTCCACTTTCCTAACCTCCAATATACTATTGTTTTCTATGAAGAAACCTTATACGTACCTTGCTGGTAGCAGGTACCATAGGCAGTGGCTTAGTAAGTAGCGGTGGAGGCGTTGCGTGCCTATTCAATGGCGTCACTGTGATCGACATTCCGTAGATGTCGAAGGAGCGCCGAAATCGTTCCGGACCTGGTGTGTTTTGCAGGTAGCTGGAAGGCAGATTGTTATTATACAGGATTATATTTTTAACCGACTTTAAAACAGTAGGAGGATCTCTATTCTGTATGTTTGACTCTATTTACTTTTGCCTTTATTTTTTTGTGTGTATGCTACGGAAAATTGTGGGACGGATTCATGGAGATGATGAGAGCTGGAGGGCAAGGAAACCTTAAGATTGAAGATCTAATATTGTGGTTGAAACTAAAGCTGCGAGACTCCAGTGGCTCGGACACGTTGAGAGAATGGGAGAAGATCGTGCCGCGAAGAGAGCTTATTTGGGTCAACCGAAAGGACGCCGAAAGCTCGGACGTGTCAGGTACCGCTGGAGGGATGAAGTCCAGAAACATCTCAAGAACCTCGGTGCTAGGGGCTGGAAGGAGCAGGCTCCAAACCGGGAGCCATGGCAGAATCTGGTGTCGGAGGCCAAGACCCACTTCGGGTTACTGCGCCACCGAAGTAAGTATGTTACACTCCAGTTGATTAATCCGGCATTTATGAACCGACTTTGATGATTCTTTTTTTATTTGAAAGAGAGTATTTCAGCAGTAGTCTCATATAAATTTGAAGAAAATATTCCCCCGCAAAGGGTGGCAAACTAGGGGATGTATATCTGGTTTCGCGCATTTTCCGTTAACTGAATTTAATAACACTTGGTAAATATGAATAGATATAAAAAAGCCGATAAGTAAACTTTTGAGGTAAGCATTTTTTAAAAACAAAGTTATAATTATCATAACATTTAAATCTCTTAATAAAATTAAAATATTTAGCACTTCAAAATGGCGTAATCAAAGAAACATTTTTGGGAAGCTAACTAAATTAATTTAAAAAAACTTATGAAATAAAACTTCGTCGGCTAAAATCGTAAACACGTAACCGCCATTGATGTGAACTTTTGAGTATTATTAATAAACAACCAATGATTAACCCTTTATTTTATAACTAAAAAAGGGTCTACAAATAATATTTTAAGTTTTAATTGCCCGATATTGCGCTTGAAGAGTAAAAACGGGATTTCGCCCAAAGTTTTATTGTTTTTCATATCGTATATAATATTGTGCTATCTATCGTTGAGTTTTGAATTTGAAGAATAGCATGTCTATGTAATGAGAATGAAAAAGACATCAGCCATTTTGCGTCGGCGATCCGAGTTTTTTGACCGGCTCGAGCCATTTACGCGGTAACAAGTGTAGTGATACCCCAGAACACTCAAAACGCGACCCAATTTCAGACAATTATAACTTTTTATAAAAAAATCAATTAATTAATTCAATAATTTAACTGCCTCCGTGGCCGAATTACCATGCCGGACTGCCACGCAGAGGTCCCTAGTTCGATTCCCGGGCCGGGAGAAATATTTGTATGGTCTACATTTATTTCTCTCGTGAGTTTGGGTGTAATTTGTGGTTCAAATTCCAATTCCAATTCAAAATAATCTTTATTTCATAGGTAAGCATTATTACATTCGAAATCGTCACAATGGTTAAACTCTACCGATCATTCGTAAGGCAGATTCCCCTGAGAAGAATGAGCAAGAAACTGTAGGGGTTGCTCTTTGTAAATAACATTTGTACACATTAAACATTTACAATATATATTTTTTTTAATTTGAAACATCAGAGATCGAGACTACCTCCATGAGCTAAACGGGTTAATACCACGGATTTGTGTCATCCAAGTACGCAGAAGTTGTATAATAACCTTTAGTATAAAGTTTTTGTTTCACTATAGTTCTAAACCTCGTGAAAGGCAAATTTTGTATATCAACCGGAATCTTTTTATAGAAGCGTATACATTGCCCCTTAAATGATTATTTGGCTTTGTGACGACGACCATCATGAAAAGCTAGTTTATTTTTATTCCTCGTATTAATATTATGCCTGTCACTATTTTTCATAAAGAAACTACTATTCCTTTTAACATAAATTACATTTTCATAAATGTACTGTGAGGCTAGTATAAGAATGTTAATTTCAAACTCTCAAAGATACTTTGGGGCCTAGATTGTAAATTGCCCTAATTGCACGTGTGTGCAGGACAGAAATCCGAGGTAGTGAAGCCCGTTAGTGCGTTTACGCACTAGGTTGGATTCGTATCAGCAGGCTGGTTTTAATTCTAAATCGGAATAGGTCGATCGGGTAGCCCATTCGAGTCTCGAAATCAGATGGGTTTCCGAGCGAGAAGATGAATCTGTTTCCTACTATATCTTTCTAATTTGTGAGTTAAATCAGCTATTGCTCCGATTAGAAATTTGTGAATTGCAATTATGCGCCTCGACTGGGAAGAGACGCAGTTTCCGATCGGGAGAGGCAAGCAAAATCAAGCTGCAGTTCCGAATGAAAATCAAAAACTTCAGTGGAACCAACACACACACGAAATGCGCCACTTATTTGCGTCCTATCCCTGGCAGGCTTGCTTTACTTCAGGAGATACGTCTAGCTGTGCTGATGCTGTAGTTGAGGTCCTATGATTGGGCATGGAGTATTATGTACCATACTTCGATGTACCCATGGACCCCAAGCTCGTCCATGGTTTAACGCTGACTGTAGTCGTGTTGAAGCACAAAAACAGTCTGCGTACCAAGCTTAGGCAGATGCTCGACTACGCAAAGCTCCGAATACTCAGAATCTGAAGAAAGCCTTTAATAAAGCCGCAAAGAAGAGCAAAAGTGTGTTACACAGGGCCAAGTTCGACCATGGGTCAAGCTTGCCTCTTTTCCAGCAGGCAGCAAGTCCTTTTGGTCCCTGGCCAAAGCGGTCGAAAAAAACTTTAGTAGCCACTCATTACCATCTCTGCTGAGGCCAGACGGCTCGCTGGCCCATACTGCGGAAGAGAAGGCGAATCTCTGCGCCTTACTCTTTCCAGAGAGTTCGCGTCTAGATGCCGCAGGATACCTATCACCTTCTTTACCTCACACTGGATGCACTATGGCGCCAGTTCGCATACGTCAAAAAGAGGTACTTAGAACTCTGCGAAGTCCATGGTTAGTTGTTTGAATTTGACACTTAAGGCAGTCTCCGATTGGGGCGATGCCAATCTTATCAAATTTAATGCTACCAAAACGCAGGCGTGTCTTTTCTCCACTAAACGGAGTCCCTTTCACCTGACTCCCGACTTTTCGTGATATACCTATACCGTTGAATCCATGGCCAAAAATGCAGCCAAGAAGCTTGGCATCCTTTCCAAGGTGAGGCGATACTTCACTCCGGGACAGTTGCTTCAGCTGTACCAAGCACAAGTCCGGTCGTGTATGGAGTACTGCTGCCACTTATGGGATGGCTCTGCTAAATACCAAATGGCCACCTTGGATTCAATAGACAAGCGTGCTAAGAGGCTTATAGGTGACTCGGAACTAGTAGAGGCGAAGCTGCAGAGCCTTGAACACCGCCGTAGAGTTGCCAGCTTACCGATATTCTACAGGATATATCACGGAGAGTGTGCGATGGAATTGCATAATTTGATTCCGCATTCCCCTTTCCATCATCGGGAGACTAGACGTGGGCGGGGGTTCCAACCCTATGTTGTGGATATTACCCGGATTCGCACGAAGCGTTCCGCTTCCACATTTGTATGGCGAGCGGCTAGGGAGCGGAATTCCCTGCTCCCCGGACGCTATAACTTGGACCTTCTCAAGGCGAGAGTGGATAGACATTATTCAGGTGTGCATGCTATATCCTAGACCTCATCGTCACTTACCATCAGGTGAGATGGAGGTCAAAAGATTTTCTAGTTTATATAGTCTCGGATTCGTAACAAATGCGAATCGGATGTAGTGAGCAAATGTGGTTAAGCTCTTGCAGGTTGTCTTGATCTTTCATATTTGAATAAATATTGTAAATGACAAACAATGATCGGAAAAAGGTGTATAGATACATGTATAGATATAGCTACAAGAAGCGACATAGAGTTGTTAAAACCACCAAATATTAATTAATTACTGTTCAGAATTCCGGATTTCCGGAAATGGTTTTAGTGCTTCGTAGACCGAAACTACTGACCTAGGAAGTTGAAGTTGGATTTTAAAATAATTATATTTGTGTCACGTGCAAAATGCAGTAGATCAAAACAGAGAATAAAAAAGAAACGAGAATGGTCACTCTCCGCACCTCCCTAGTTTTAGATACCGCATATTGACGGTCACATTGACGGAACGGCGACATTTGCTAGTAGAACTTAAGAAAATTATACACAAACAAAACAAATTATACACTTACGAGTGAGCCATTAGTTTCGGCGACGTATGCGTGGTAACACATGCGGCACCGTCCTCCTGTGAAAATAACAGGTACATTATTGCAGAGGTTGGGAAGTAAGGGATTGCTGGACGAGTATGACTTACAAAGCCGGTCATGAAAATAACAGGTACATTATTGCAGACGTATGGAAGCAAGGCATTGCTGAACGAGTATGAGTTATAACGCCAGTTGTGAAAATAACAGATACTTTATTGTAGAGGTCGGGAAGTAAGGATTGCTGGACGAGTATTAGTTGTTAAGCCGGTTGTGAAAATAACAGCTACGTTATTGCAAAGGCCGGGAAGTAAGGGATTGCTGGACGAGTACGAGTTACAAACCCGATCGTGAAAATAACAGGTACATAACTGCGGACGCCGGGAGGTAAGGGATTGCTGGACGAGTATGAGTTACAACGCCGGTTGTGAAAATAACAGGTACATCATTGCAGAGGCCGGGAGGTAAGGGATTGCAGGACGAGTATAAGTTACAAAGCCGGTCGTGAAAATAACAGGTACATTATTGCAGATGTATGGAAGTAAGGCATTTCTGAACGGTGATGAGTTACAACGCCGGTTGTGAAAATAACTGGTACTTTACTGCAGAGGCCGGAAAGTAAGAGATTGCTGGACGAGTAAAAGTTACTAAGCCGGTTGTGAAAATAACAGCTATATTATGGCAGAGGCCGGGAAGTAAGGGATTGCTGGACGAGTATGAGCTACAAAGCCGGTTGTATAAATAACAGGTATATTATTGCAGAGGCCGCGAAGTAAGGATTGGTGGACGAAAGGGAGAGAAACTTTTCAAGAGAGAGGTTTGGTTTAAAGATTCTACGAACGAAATTAGTCGATAACGTTAACAGTTTTCTTCTACAACTTACCAGTGCATCAATTCTCAATCCTGTAGCATCACAATAATGTGGTTCGAACATATAATACGACGGAGGACCTTCTGTTCGCCATATTGCCACTGCATATGGTGACGACCAAATTATGCCGTGAGTGTATGTTTTGAAAAATGCTTCTAGGGCCACTCTGTGCAGACAAAATAAGAAGTTCAGTGCAAATAACTTCCACTAAGATCTTCACAATACGTTTTAAATATTTTATAGATTTATCGGGAGTGAAAGCAACGTTTTCAAAATTAGAAATAAAACTAAAACAACTACACTACACATTATAGTCTATTTTTTTGAAGACGCAAAAGTGTTGCCCGTTTCCAAGCAGCCAGTAAATGTAGTCGATAATTGCACACGAGATAATTTCAACAAGATTTTTCTGACGATATTCAATAACAAGTAATTGAAAAAAGTGCCTACCAAATTAGTAAATTGTTGTCATTGATCATTCAAATGTGGTTTCGATGGATCGTATATAGATGAGCTCGCAAAGTAAAAGGAAGGGATGCCATGCGTGCTACCACCAACCTTTATATCCGAAACGTCGAAAGACTCGTACTGTTTCACCTCTTCACATGCGACCACCAATAACGCCACCATGAAAAAACTTACGTACACAGCTCAATGCCGAATTAGAGATCATATGGTTGCGAATTTTCCAGTTCGAATATTATAACGTCACTTACATTTTATACGGCTTTAGCGTAGCACGGATTAGGATGGGTAAAGAAAAAGAGATGCGAGCTCAGACAAATTATCTGGGGTTACAAAAATGAATAAACAAGCGATTTGGCACATTTTTCAATCAACTTGTTATTGAATATCATCAGAAAAATCTTGTTGATATTATTGTCCCGTGTGGAGCGCGACATAACTGTTACGTAAACTGTCACCCCTCCCGCACCGCGCAGCTACCTCAGGAACCGACTTACACACGCGAGCGTGTGTAAAAGTAGACAATTAGTGACTGCATCGCACTTGCATCGCGTTTGCATCGCTGCTAACAGTCGCCGTGTGTGACAGCTCTTAAGCGGTAGCCCAGTAGTTTTTATTATTGTTTAAAATATAATTTCAGTTTTATTATCATCTTACCTGAACGGCATATCGACAGGATCCTTTTGCTCTAATTTGCCCGAATATACCGAGGTAAGATCGTATCGTATGTAGTTGGTACCTAGTATAAATGCCTTTAATACCTGTAAGTAAAAAAACATGTCGTAACGTCATTACGATATTCTAACTTTTTTTTACTATAATGTCAAGTGATGGGACGAATAAGCCACACGCCTGTCCATAACAGTTGCAGTGCCACTAAGAGCTTTAAATCGCAAAGATCTTAGGGGCACTGCCACTGCGCCCGTCACCCTGAGACATTAGTTGAGAAGTCCTATGTGCCTGTATCACCAGCATCGTTACTCTTCAAAACCGGAATACAGTAATGCTGATATTACTGCTGGGCGGCAGAAATAGATAAGGTGGCAGTACATCCCTGGACGAACTCTTTCACAAGAAGCTCTATTGCTACTAAAAGCTATTGCAAAGTTATGTTTCTGGTATGACACACGATAGTGCTGCAAGATATCGCCTACCGATATCACATATCGGTATTCTCCAGAATATATCACGATGCGCAAAGGAATTGCACGGTTTCTCCTTCCAGCATCGAGGGACGAGACGTAGGCTGTATGTTGTGGACACTCCATGAATTCGCACGAAGAGTTTCGCTTACATATTTATATGGGGAACGACTATGGCGTTCAATTCCTTGCCTGCAGGTTTGTTCCCTGAACGCTATAAGTTAGGGGTTTTCAAAATGTGAGTGAATATGCTCCATCGTTGATCTCATAGTCACTTTCCATCAGGTGAGATGCGCACCTCTTTTTTAATAAAATACCAACCTGGAGTGGCAAAAGTATGTCTTCTCCTGGTCTGAATTCATATCCAAGATTGGCCAGTGAATCCGCAAACAACTGACCTGCGGACTTCATTATCTCGTCAATCTGTTAACATTTTAAACTTTTTTATGGTTGATAATTAATTTGAAGCTAATTTTGACACCTGACACAAAAAAGGGGAAGCCTTTTTGAATCGATCTCTCTGTAGTATTACAGCTCCCAAATGGATGGATTGATCTCAAAGCAGGTTTTTCTTTATTTAAAGGCTTTGAATCGGGATCAATCTGTTTAGGTGTTTCAAGATCATCATCATAAAATGAATATTTGTTACTTCTACTAGTCTGATACAACTTGAAATTTGATATACTATGGAAATCTGAAGACATTCCATTAATATCGTATCATTGATTTGATGCTGCAACCACGACAGCGTGCCGAATACTCAACTCGTCAACTACTGACAGTAGACCTATCGTGCCCAAGCCCATTAAATTGGTCTCGCTCGACGAGTTGTTAGCTTACGGATGGTAACTTTAGACCTTTTGGAGTACACTGTTTTCATTCATCCATCCCTCTAAGGGCGCGTTCCCATTATGTCGTAAAGCTTTATTTGTCGTTGGACCACTGTCGCGTCTACCCTAACGACTATTTGTCGTGACTGTGTCGTGGACGTTTATTTTATGGTCGAACGACTGTCACGTCTAGCTGTTCCCACTAGATCGTGACGATAATTTATCGGTTCACGGCAGCCGCCTTGTCGTTTGCATGACAGAATCGTTTGGAGCTGCTATTATCTGTCGTCACATTTTTATTTATCGTCAGACGACTGTCGTTCTAGCTTTTCCCATTGTCATGAGTCTGTCGTTGTTACGCTAAAAAGTCTTGAACGAAGGTCAATTGTGTTGTTCTATGTGTGAACAACTTCATTTAAATAAATAAGCCAAGACACTTTAAACTGCACGACAGTGGTAACCACATAATGAGAACGCGCCCTAAGACAAGTTGACAAGTCTCACGTGCCAGTAATCACCAGCACCCTTTCCCCAAAACCGGAACGCAGTAATGGTTACATTACAACTTGCCGGTAGAAATAGGTAATGTGGCAGTTCGTCTTGGAAAGAGCTCTACTGTTTTATTAAAAGCCTTAAATCGCAAAGATCCGAGATGATCTGTCATAGCACCCGAATCACCTTGAGACATAGGCAAACTGACAAGTTCCACGTGTTTGTAGTTTCAATTACTGCTTGGCGGCAGAAATCGTTATGGTGGCAGCACTTCCATGGACTAACTACTATACAACGAGCTCTACTATTAATGTTAAAAATACTTAAAATCTTGTAAGTCCAGAGATGCGATCTCCTTAACATGGACATGCACCCGCCAACAATAGCGCTGGCAGAAGACTGTAATAGCGCGTCACGTGAAAACCTGACGGTAAAATTTTTACAATCAACAAACAACAGGCGAAGCATATGGCATTTAGTGCCACAATTTATGGTGTACAGTCGATGCGCTAAGATACTTGACAAGTGGGGGTCAGGCCAGGCCAGAGGTCTAGGCAGGAGGTCGGCTCTCTAGCCAACCTTCCGGTTCTAAGAGCCATTTTACGCATTCAACACATTAGTACTTTATGCATTTGTTGCATGCAGAGGTTTCCTAAAGTCGAGAATCGTGTTTAGGTGCTAAAATAATGAAACAACCAATATTTAATGAATATTTTATTCAATCCATGACAACAAACCCATTTTTTTTTAATTTTCACCCATTTATTTAGGTAGGCAAAAGTTCCACCATACAACCTCTTCATATATTTAGACGAAAGCCAACATGCTACAAAACAAAAAACCTAAGAGGTGAAATAGAACTGGTCAAGTACCGCATACCAATAATTTTTCTTATAAAGATTTATGGCCCGATTGCAAGTCTTTTAGGCCAATTTAACCAACCAGGAGGCAGTATAGCGCTTAAGTAGCATCCTAATTGATATTTTAATTAGCAAAAATACGACGTTCTTTTTTTGAAACTTATACACTATAAGTTTCCTGAACTAGCCACGTACATAAACAATATTTCAAAAGTAATTAGAACATTTGAAAATGGAACTCTTTGACTGTGGAATACAGTTTGTTTCATCTGACTGTCACTTGATTTTACATTGTGGCGTCATTTTAGAAATTGGTTGTCTACATCACCATGGATTTAACTCGTGGAAATTTTCGTAGGATTATCTACGACTCTCTAAATGTAATTTAACAGCTCAGCGGAGCTTCCTCCGTTTCAAACTGCTTTTGACGATAAAGCACCATGCAAGACGACTATTTATAGCTGGTTTGCAAAATTCAACGATTTTCATCACCTGAAGAGGCTGTCGAAAAGTATGAAAAATATGTTTCAGAGATTGTTACGGAGGAGTGGAATAAATGTTTTCAAAATTGGTTTATTCGTATGAAAAAGTGCATTAACGCTAACAGAGATTATTTTGAGAAACAATAAATTCATTTCTGACCATTTATAAATTTTTTTCTTATTCATTCAGGAAACTTATAGTGCGCTCCACGTATAATTCTGTGTATAGTACTAAAAAAAATTTCGAGTCAGTGGCGATTAACATAGACAATAGAATTTTGATTCGGAACTAAAAAGAACGCCTAATAGGATATGGTATATGAAATTACAATTGGCAGATTGAAGCACGGAAGTAGAAAAACTTATTCTCAGAACGGTATAACTTGGGTCTTTACCAGGCGAGACTGAATAGGTGTTATTTAGGAGTGCATGTTCGACCTCATCATCACTTTCCATCAGGTGACATGGAGGTCATCATCATAAAAGGTTATTGGTAGTCGTAATCGCTTACAAAGGTTAAATGTATCCAGAAACCGAAAGCACTTACTTGATCGGCTCCGTTGGCCTTGATCCTCTCAAAATGGTTCTTCCCTTGCCATATTCCACATAGGCTGTGAGGACTTTGAACTCATACCCTTCATCGTCCATGCCAGACGTCTTCGGCTTCTCGGGTTTCTTTGAAAGCTCCCAGTTCACATTGACACCGGAGATTGTGAATCTGAAGAAGGAACGAGTAAGATGCGCCGCTTGTTGTATAACGTTTATAATTTGAATAGAAAAAGTTAAAACGCTTTCCATGGACTCTTATAATTTAAAGGTCAAATTAAGGTCAAATTTTCTTACGAGTTGATTGGTAGAAATTTCTCAAACGTTTCGTCCCTTTACAGATCACATGGTCTGTCTGAGATGGTAGTAAGGTCATCAACCAATTATCTAATATTAAACTTTGTAACTGTAATTCACAATAGAGTGGCTTGCATCAATATTAGACATAACCGGTTGATTACTTTACCATCTCAGTCAGTCGTAATCATGAGCCCAGCAAACGTTTGAAAAAACAAATATAAGAAATTTCTTAGATCTGAAAAAATAGTCCCATTATTAAGAAAATCAAATAAAGACAAAATTATATAAAGCAACAAGTTAGCTAAGCGTGCGCATGAGTTTGTGGACGTAGACGGACATTTCGATTATAAGACGAACGTAAAAAGGATTATTATGAAAATCATTCATTTTGGGGAAAGGGATTTTTGAGGTTTGAACAATACGTTGAGTAATATTTAATGACATTCTGACCAAACCAGGCGGAAGGGAAGCAATTATGGCAGGTCATCGTTTTGCGAAGTACGCGGGCACCGTCGCCATTGATCCTACGATTTTAATGCGTAATTTGCTCAGGCACTAATGTGCGCTACAATGAAATTTTAATGACTAACTTGTTAGGCCCAGGCCTGGCTGCATCCTCGATATTCAGCCTCAAGGTCTCAGCAAGCTCGTCGATGGTGGAGAAGAGAACCATACCCGCGGCTCCTGCCGGGGAAGTGCGGCCCGTGGGACCCACAAAGTGCGGTTCCCATAGGCAGTACGTATTCTCGTTATTGCCTTTCCAAATGCCCACGCAATAACCTTTGGCGCAGACCACTCCGTAAGTGCCCTGGGATGTAATAAATATCAACGTATCAGCTTATCAAAATATACGCCATTCTTTTCATCTTTCTGTGAACCGAAAACAAAACCTAGCCATTTTTGTACTTCATTGATAGGATCAGAAAGCGTACTGGGGTGAAGTTATAGCCGCTCACGCGATACATGCGGCCGTAGACGCATACCACACCTAGAGGTGCCGGTGATGATTTTATACCGATTTATCGGAAATCGAAGTTATAACAGGTAAAAGAACTAATATTAATTGCCATTTCGGTAACTACTCTAGCAAACCATAAAGTTTTTAATGCCTGGGTCTGTCATTTAAAAAAATAAACAACTTCAAAAATACGTCACGACAATCGTGTGTGTTATTGTTTGGGCTGGTGATTTCGGTGTTTATTTATTGAAAACATACCGTAAGTAGCGTTTTTTTAAGTTTACCCTGAATATAAATGTTTACAAACTATACTTTAAGGAGTAATTTCATGGTAAACGTTAGAACCACTCAAACGGAATATTATCATATTTATCCAAGTACACCAAAAATTTCATTAGTGCTTTTTAAGTGCAGGATTTGCGGTGTATTACTGCATTTTATTTGAGATGTTTTTGTTGGTAGTACGGAGGGTATTTATTTAGCAGTGCAGAATAATAAGTTTTATTTATAAAAACTTGTATTTAAACTGAATGCTTTTCTAATTTGCGAAACCAAATAGTCGCCATTTTGCGGTAGGAGGAGCGCATCGCGTGAGCGGATAGTTTGAAACCTTACTTATTATTGAGAAATCTGACGTAAAGTACAGAATTATAGTAGGACTAGAGCTCCTTGTGACAGAGTTCGTTCAGAAAAGTACTGCCACCTCACCTATTTCTGCCGCCAATCAGCATTACTGTATTCTGGTTTTGAAGGGTAAGGGTGCTGGTGAAATTACAGGCACATGTGACTTGTCAACTTATGTCTCAAGGCGACTGGCGCAGTGACACCCCTCAAATCTTTGCGAATTAAAGCTCTGAGTGGCACTTCAACTGTTATGGACAGGCGTATAGTATCAGGCGCACGACTCGTCTGTTCCGTCACTTGATATTATAAAAAAAAAATTCAAAACGCAGTCCTGTAGTACAGTGAGGAGGCTCCTTTTTCGAGAAGGTACTACCTAACATTTAAAAACGACAAAAACGCTATTATTATTTAGCAGGTGTAGAGAGTGTGGATGAAGATTCCACCGAGACGGAGAAGTAGCGTCAAACCTCCGATCGTGATCATGGTCAATGCAACCTTACTGAAACGCCGGGACAATAGCTAGGTGTGCAAATACGTATTAAATTGCTTAATCGCGTTTATACTCTTTTTCAGATGTAACTATAATGCAACGCGAAAGTTTAAAGGTAGATATATAAGAATCTACCTATCAGAAAATTAAGAACAACGTACTAAATGCGCTTTCACTCCATGACCATAGCTGCTGCTATTTGTTCAAAACCTTTAGGTGTGCAAATATAATTATACTAAATCGATTTTCTCGAGACTCTCCCAACTCTTTCTAGTACTTCAAAAATTCAAACATTTTCAAACGGGACACCGCGTGTATGAAAGAATTCGTCCAGAGAAGGACTGTCAACACCTATTTCTGTACTAGAGGCACATGGGACTCGTCAACTTTGTATCTCAGGGTGACATACAGTGGTAGTACCTCTCAGGTCTTTGCGATTACTCTGAGTGGCATTGCTAGTGCTCTCGCCCCGTTATTTGATGTCATACGCAAAATATTGACCTTTATAAGGAATATGGACAGCATTATTGTACTTACACCGTTATCAAAGAACTTCTTGATGCCGCGTTTCAGGTTTAATATTGATCCAGTTTCGCCAGCTCTTATATCTCCCGTCACTGTTTCGGGATCGACGTCTAACAATACCTGTACGAAACAATACGACATTAGTAATGTGGACTTAACACTTTGCTCTTGGTATACAGCGCTTCTTATCACGTCATTTTGACGAATCAAATACATACCAAGCAGCGACGGTATTGTGGAAACCTGTTTTCCTTATACATTAAATTTCAGAACATTCCATACCATGCCTTGAACTATTACGTCAACCATACCAAAAGCCTTGCAGAAGTCGTCGAAGTCTTTGATGCTTGCCTTGATTTTCTCACTTTCACCTCAAATGCATATAGGGGATGAAAATACATTTTCAGATTACAAGGCAGGTAAGTTACTCAACAAATAGTACCATCAAGCACCTTTAGTACCAGAGCCGTTGTCACCAAACGCACATACTTGTAAACGCAGGGTCAGCGCAAAGCGTACACTAACGATACCGCGAGCGTCCGCCAATGTACTCAGCGTCCGCTGGAATGCCGCGGCATCCGTCAACATGCCACCGATCGCTCGTATTTGATTCCGTTTCACTAGCGACTTTGCAAGTCCCCAACGAATTCAGGCAGATTGGAATCTTCCTCTAGCATGCTCTTCAATATCGCAGAGAGAAATGCGCTGCGTTGCTCCGAGGTCGGTATCAGAACATTGAAATTTATGCCTTATTACAATAGAAATAGCATAACTTATAAGTCTCCTGCCTTCCCGTCTCCGCAGGTTTGTTGGCCTTTACATTATAACTTAACTTAGTCTTGATTGGATACAATTTTGTTATTTTATCAAGCGAAATTGGACAAATAGGATAAACTTTATTCGTAAAAAAATTTACTTTATTACAATCAAAAACAGATGCTTTTGGAGTTCCGTTACTCTCAACAACAACTACTCCCATACTTTTACTGATTTGTTTCCATGGTCGCCGTATTATATTAAGTATTCAGTAAAGATTGTAACCATCCAGCCAAACACAAAAACTTACATTAAAATTAGTAACATGGAAGCCTTTAACGACTTCGTTGACTGTCAACTTGGGTGGTTTGGCAGCATTGGGTAGAGATGTGGTGTACAACCTGTCTCCGTACTTCAAGATGGCATCGATCAACGAAGATTTCCAGTGCGTGTAAGGTTCTATAGTGTCGACTACAATGCCCATCAATGCATTTGCTGCGTCCTGAAAAATACTAAATGTGAATCAGCAAATAAAGAATAACCTCATATTGATCCACTCGACAATAAAGGAGGTCTCCAGAAAGAAGAATAACCACGTTTAACAGTTTGATGATAAAGGATGATGTTAGTATAGATTTTAAGACTTTCGTGTTTATTCACGAAATGATTATCACTAATTAACAGTGATCGGAGTAGGTAGAAACTTCCGAGGAACAGAGTCGGAAAATGCAGACTGCCTTACGACAATATTTTTTAGGTCCTGGACCTTTTCGGGATTCAGGAAATCACAAGTGCATTAAAAATTGAGGTAGTTTGGGATAGGCAGATAGACTATATTTATCTTAACTCGCACCCTTTTTTTTTTTAAAGAAGACTAGCAAAAATGTGGTAAGCGTGCAGAAACTTTCTGAAATAGAGCCAACGGTTTAACTGTTGGTAGCGTAATGTGCAACGGGAAGTGAGCGTGCCTACAGCTGCGGTAGCTAACTGGAAAATAGGAAGGGTACTAAGTTTTAAAAATTAATATAAAATAGGACTTAATTTTAAAACAGTCGTGAAAACCTAAAACATGCTCCCCTGAAACAATTTCGAACGCTCTTTCTACAAAACTGATTATATGTCAGTTCTTAAAACCGCCATTTGCCGATAGGAAACAAAAATAAAAAGAAATCATACCGTGGTCAGAAAACTGTAATTAGTGATAATAATTTGCTGGCGCTAGGATTTCTTTCACCGGAAAACAAATTGAAAAACTCGAACAAATTTTGCGATAGGATCAGAAAATCAGCAACAGCTATTTAAAATATTTTCCCATCTATTGAATTTTCTCGGGATGTTCTGCGAATGTTAGACAAAACACAAACCTGGTTGTCCCTGTTGGGAGTTTCAGCGAAGTAGTTCTCTCCTTGGGCAACCTGTCCTCTCACTGAGGCGACAGTGCGACTCTTGCGCGAGTAGTGTGGGCCGTAAGCAGTTTCATCTAGGGCCTCTACTAGGACATCCTCTTCCGCTGGAGGGGAAGATTTATCAAGATCACATTTGAACCATAAGAAACCTACAAAAAATTCAATGCTATTCTTAGAAAGAGAGCTGCCTCGTTGTGGCTGGTAGGGTTGACTGCCCAATCATGCTTCATGCAAGTTGAGGATCGTTTATTTATTTATTTGATTACAGACAAGCAGCTTTCGTTGGTATGTCTACATTACACAATGTTGAAATTTGTCGTTTGTTTTAGTTCACTATTTAACACTAATGCATTCTTTCGTATCCAGTTGTCGAGCTTGTTTTTGAGGGCATTAGCAGAGATAGCAGAAACAACATCTTCCGGTAGCATGTTCAAATTGTGCACCACTCTGTTCCTGAAAAAAATTGTGTGCAGCTGGTGTTTTGGAAGGAGCACGAACTAGTTTGAGATGGTGGCAATGTGACGGTTTAAAGTTTTCTTTTCTTTTAAAGATGTTTCGTATTGCTGGTAGATGGAAGTGACTCAATCAGAATTTTATAAGTCTCAATGAGGTCACCCCGAAAGCGTCTTTCTTCCAGAGTAATGAGGCTGTGATTGTGTTTTTCTTTTTGTTCTTTCATTTTGGTAGATCCTTCATTCTAGTAGATCCTTCCTTTGTTGGGGACTTCATTGTGTTAACTTTTGTAAGTTTATGACTGTATTAGAACTGTATTTGTCTGAAATAAATGAATTTTGAACTAACTTCCTAGAGCAGGCCATCGGTTCAGTACATTTTACGTGTTCCTTGTCTTCTAAGGTGCATTGAAAGAATCAACAAATGATTCGAACGTATACGTCATATTGTACGCAGAACGGGCATTTATTATCACCTCGTACTATGTAGTATCTCGTATGTAATGCTATGGAGTTCTTAAAAAAAAAATTCTACATGTATTAAGCAAATTATACAAGTTAAATTGCAAAAGGCGCTATTGAATGAAATTTGTTTTATAAAAATATTTCATATTTTGTTGCTGAAAACATGAACCTGTATTTCTTATATATTATTGTAATTGTCATTGTTGTTCAATAAGCAACATGACCTATATGAGAAGTACCTTCTCACTGCTACGTAACAAGTTAATAAAGTAGATCTATAATTGCAAAAGAATGTGCTTTGTCAACAGTCAGTTTGGCGGGCACAGTCTTCTGGGAAATGCTTTTTGAATAAAAAATTATGATATCGTGGTACCATCAAATCTCGCAGTCTTGAACCTACCTTCACCTGCTTCGGCTTCTTCATCGCCTTTTCCACCGCCAGGTTTCTTCTCCTTCAGCAGGTTAGTGAGTTCGTTGGTCACCTTCACCGGGTACAGCCAATACGGAGCGATCATTTGCTTGTTGTCCAGACCGCCTTTTTGTACTGTATACGAAGGATGGTCATGAGAACAATATGCAGTGCTGTAATTTGTCTGACAGATCTAATCACCAAAAAATATTACTTTGGCCTTTGAAAGTCTATGATCGCTTACAATCACGTAAGATTGTTTGCCTACATCAATTTTGCCGCTACAGCTCTTTCAAAACCATACATCTAGTAACGCGGACAACGCTTTGAGTCTTTATTTCCTTCAATACTTTGTTTTCTCAAGTCTGCTGAAGGACCTATACTTAAAGTCCAATGCTTAACGTTGGCTTAGAGTTGAGACCACGCCTTCTTCGCAAACGTATTGCGGAATAAGAAATGGTATTGGTCGCTAAAATTTCACTCTTTTTTTTCTCCGTTTTGGTAAACCATGTACCTTATAGAAGGAAGGAGCGTTGCGGTCAATATGCCATCAATTGTGTTGGCGATTTATGAATTGACGTGAACTATATTTAACTTACCTAGTTTGTCGATAAACTCTCCGGGACTGGCAGCTTGGATGAGCACCGGGCACGCTTCAGGTGGTACAAATTCTGGCTCTGGCTCTGGTTTCTCTTCGCCCTCTGAAGAATAAATCTTGTTTTATTTTTTTTTACATTTCAAGGAACAATTTAGAAATATGCCCATCAAATACACTAGACAAACAACATTGTTAGTATTAATCTCTGACGAGATCAGTCACTCTTTTGTCTTCCTCACGTGGCGCAAATTCAACAACTACATTCCCAATTTTTAAAATCCCCATACCTCCACCAGCTTCTTCATCATCACCTTCATCGCCTTCTTCCACTGGCGTCTCGTCTTTGATTCGCTGAAGGCGGAGTTCATCACCTGCATTTACGATCCAAAAAGTCAATTTATCCCATTAGCCCAAATAATACGATAGTTTTACAATAAGTAGATGAGGAGTTGGTAAATCTGCGGACTGCCCTTGTTGCAGCATGGGGTTGTCACCGAGAGTTTTGAGTAATCAAATGACAAGCTCGGCCTACATCATTTATTATAAAATAGGAATAGGTAAAGAACAGGAAAAGGAAGAAATATAAAGGTAAAGGCTTTAACAAAACAAAATAACATACAGACAAAAGGGAACTTCCTGCAAAAGGACCTTGTACAAATATTATGCTTTACAAACAATGAGGATACATGATTTTTAATGGTATAACTGGAATTTGACAAAGTCGAGCACGTCTGCTCGATTCGGAATTTAGTAGAGAGTGGCGATGGAACGAAGGAATGTAAGAATGATGAAGAAAAGGAATCGAAAAACGATTGAAAGTTTCAAAGTAAATGGCCTGGAACCAGAGACAAGGGTGATAAAAGGTGGGATGCCTTTTTTTATAAATAATAAGTGCGCATTAGACCTCCATCTCACCTGTGGACAGTGATGATGAGGTCGACGATGTAGCACGCACACCTAAATAATGCCTATTCAATCTCGTCTTGAAAAGGTCCAAGTTATAGTGTTCGGGGAATAAGTCCGCAGGTAGTTTCACTCTCAAGTTAAAGGTACGGGGGATCAAGGGTAAGGGGTAAGGGATGTAATGTCGTCGTTTTTCCATGGTATAACAAATTTCACGTCGATCAGATAGGTGGAAGTAAAGAAAATGTTTATAACTGAGATCCCTAGAGTAGCTAGGAAAAGAGCTGACGATCTTTAAACCTGAACAGATGCTAAAAACATAGCAGATACACAATTAAAGGCTTCCAACCCATATCTCCAATCTTTTGGCGTTGTGGTTTTAAAAAAAGGCCTCGAGTCATCCTTCCACCGGTTTAGACTAGTTATAACCATTTTCGGAGGCTAATAAATTTAAGAGAAGCTGGTACAAATAAGTTAATATCAGGAATTAGAATTGAGGGAGTGGGTTTTCCTAAAATTTGTACGTTTTCTTTATATGGATATACCCATTTCGTTGCGTATAAAATTTCTTTTTTATTGTTTATTTTCCAAAAATTCCAAAATAGAGGCCTCACGTATATTTTTTAAATGGCTAAAGAAGTGAAATACATAAGTACCGTGATTTGTAGTAAATACTTAATAGAAAATATAAATTAGTTGCCAATGTGCTCAAATTTCAATAAATAATACGGATATTCAAATACAATCAGTTCCGAGAAGTCTTAGGATTTGTAGAAGGGAATATCCACATTTTTCTTTAGTTTAGCTCTATTAACTCCCACAATTTAGATCACTAGTTATTAGTCTCTAAAGGTGTAAAGCAAAAATTAACAATCTATTTAAACAATAACCAACAATATCAGTCCTTTTCTAACATGGCCTGTGTGCAAGTACCATTCAGTAACACTACTCCTTGATGTTGCTGCTTACCTACACGTGTACCGACACCCGCAAACCTACACGTGTATTCTTAACGTTAATTTTAGTATATTCAACTTTATGTAATAGCAATTACCCTTCGCGATCCTCTGTTTGGTAAGAGCTCCTTTTTCAAGAGTGGGAGCTGGGTCAAATGCAACTACTCTGCCACCAGGTGCCATCCAGATTCCAAGCTGGTGGTAGTCTCCTAGCAGTAGTGCCACTTGATTTGGCTTTGTGGTGTCATACCACATTTTGAAGAGAATGTCTTTCATTTCTGAAAATATGTTCGGAACACTATTGTACTAATTTAAGTTCACTACTCCTGACCTAGGTTTACTCCATGCAGTATCCTCTCTCAAGCTAATAATTCAATAAATTGATGTGAATGCATATGTGTATATGTAACGATAGTATTGTTCAGGGCGTGCGTATTTGTATGAGTTGGTATAACATTTAGTCAGTAACCTTTCATGCCTGGCTCCTCGACTTCTCCTTCTCCGAGGCCTGCACCGCCTTCATCTTCAGCACCCTCCTACAGAAAATAATCAACGGTCATAATTGATTCCTGATCCACGAGCTCACGATCTAACAAACCTAAAGGATTGTATTATTTTGACATCTTCCCCTCTCCGCTTCATCAATGAAATTCTATGGATTTTCTAGAAACGTATTTTCATCTCCTTGGATAATATAGTTAAGATAGGGCAGATACTTATGGTGGTGAAGCAATACATTACAGTGTCAATATCAATATAACACAGCAGCACAAAATTTATGAATTTCTAGATGCGAAAACGTTTGCAGAAAGCTCAAGTTTGATTTCTAATGATGTTTAATTTAAATTTCATTATTATTTGTCTTAACACTCATGTTTTTTATAATAAGAAGTACGTACGCATTTGACCTCTATTTGCCCTGATGGAAAGTGACGATGAGGTCGACGATGTAGCGTATACACCTAAATAATGCCAATTCGCTCTCGCGTTGTAAAGACCCAAGGCAAAGTCTGGTAGATAAGGAATTCCACTCTATAACCAATCGCCACATAAATGTGGAGCTTGGCATATCCAACACATAGGGATAGAACGACAGTCTACGTCTAGTCCACCCGTGATGGACTAGACATCATCGCACCCTCTCCGTGATATATGCTGTAGAAAATCACGGTAAAAGCACCAAAATGTCAGGATGGTTTATAAAATTCCTCAAAGATTTGGCGAAATCTCCAACCCGCAATGTGTTCTATTTTATTATGTTGTATGCTAATGCTAGGAAATAGTGTACTTACGCCAGTAGGTTTATCGGGCATTCGAAGAGGCAATCGAGTAGATTCACCCACTTCGATGGAGAACGTGTTTGCACCCATCTCAAACTTTTCCGACAGATCATCCACATTAATATCTTTGCGACCGGTATGTTTCTCGTGATTCAAGTAGTACTCCGCTCCAGCATCTGAAGTTTGATGGGGGCAAATTTTTAGTATTTTGGATCCTGTTGGTCGGGTCCCTAGATTGTATTGTCCCTAGATTTAGTTGTCTGGTGATCTAGATACCAGATCTAGATCGTATTGATGAACTACTAGCGATAACGACAACTGTTAGCGACATAAGCACCAAAAATATTCAAATTTCTAGAATTCTCAGCTGGTCGAAAACATATATTCTAAGGGATCATCTATTCTCTATGAGTTGATTGACCAATATCTCACAATCTGTTATTTGTAGTCTTTTATCTGAAAATATACCATATTTAATAAAATTATGAGTTTTAGGAACTTGCCTAGTAAGTTGTACATGTGATCGGAGTGCATCCCAGGTGGAGGCACCGTCTCCGCTGCGGCACAGAAAGCCGCTGCCGCCGGCAGCGCGAGGGTTCTGCCTGCCAGGTCTAGCTGTTAAAGATAATAATTAGCTTTACACTGCACTTTGCACTTTCTACCAATATTATTTTCAGATGTATTTATTTTTCCAGTGTACAGTATCACACAGGAAAAATAATTATATCTGAAAAGAATATTGGCGGAAAGTGCACCATGGAAAGGAAGAAAAGATAAAGTTTTATTTTGATGAAGTCAAAGCACCAATCTAATGGTGGCCAAGAAGTTACAAAAATGTGGCAAGATGAGAAGATGACATCGTCAAACCGCCAGCCATAGCCGGTTGAAACTAGCGCAATATCAAGATGAATGGTACCATCTATGCCTATAATGTGCAGCGGTCTCTAGATGATGATGACCACGATGAGGGTGCTGTTTAAAGGTAAAGCAACACCAGCGTTAGCTATAAATGAATATACTAAGCAAACTCAAATATTAAAAAGGCCTGTAGAGAATATAAAAACATGCACTGTAAGTCCCTAACGAACACACCGATTGGGTATCAAAAAAGGCAACTTCCTGACTTTTTTCTGCAAGGGACGGTTTCTGTTACAGAATAACCAACAATTAGGTATGTGGAAATCAGTGATGACTCAGTTTCTTTGCTTCTGAGAATCGAAGCCAGGGATTCCTTTAAGTTCAGCTTTATTGTAATTACAATAAAGCTGAACTTAATTACAATCAAAGGTCAAAGCTCGTTTCCACTGGTTCGACCAAAATTCAACTTTGAACCCTCCCTAATAACGCCGAGAGAATTACCTTCTTATCAATCCTTTCATTGGCTTTTCCAAGGGCAGAGTTTTCTCCACGAGGTCCCATCAAGATGCAAGCTGTTTTCTTTTGTAGCCACTCAAATGCCTTATTCTGAATAATAACATAAAAAAACGATTAAAAATAACTTCTTGTCGTAAATAGATGTACACCAAGATTGAGAAGTTCTTTTTGAAGCACAAATAATGACGCTTGTTTATTGTCTTCTGATATCAAAGGACTTCTCGAAATCCGTAACGTCGTGTGATTCAATCTCATTTGCCTTAAGTTACTTGTCTAAATATCTGTTAGTTTCAGCAATTTTGCATGGCATAGACAATTTTTTTCATTATCTTGCTTTACTTTCTCTCAGCTGCTAAAATTTTAAGGTTCAATATAGCTGTAATTACTTACAGCACCAGAGAAACGGTCGCACGTAACTATGTTAGCACAAGGTTTTGTAGTACAATCATAAAGAAAGTCTAAAGGTGACTTTGAGAATATGTACTTACCTCCTTTTGCATCTCAGGAGCACCGATTTCTGGGTTGAGCTTAGCAGCCAAGATGTCCACAGGGGACAGATTAAAGCTGTCATCAGCACCAGGGGCAAGGTTGCCCATGATCACATCTGCCAGCTCACCAGCATCTTTCTTCAAGCGGATCAAGGCCGCGCCAGCGCGAGGATCTTCGGTTGGGTAACCTAATAGATAAAATGTACCAGACAAGCACACCAAGCACCTGGTATCGGATTAACTCCCATGTTTAATCCACAGAACAATAAATAATGTAGAAGTGCTTGATTTGCGTGTCACGTGTGCCAACAGTACACGAAGTTCCACATACTTAAGCACAGACCGCCATTTTCGCTATGTACGCTATGATCGTGTAAGTTATCTCGCGCAAAGCCTCGAAAATCGTAACGCCTTATTTTGTTACTTTCGAGTTCAAAAATGATTTTGACATTTGGTGGTGTTTCATATTACAGTCTTACTTTACTTAATTTTAATAAACTTACAATTTTCTGTTTGTCGTAATATTTTTACAAGAAACGAAAGTATACCTTATACCGCTGCAATATATTAGCTTCTTTTTTGGAGAACTAAGTAAATGTCGCTTCCGTGGTTGTTCAGCTACTGACCGCTAGATGACAGCACATTGATTATACGAAATCAAAACGTCGAAACTTACAACAATAGATATTGATGATAATGAACTTTCCAAGATATGCCAACATGTTCATATTAACAGTCGAGAACTTGTTGTTTCTTATAAAATTTGAAATTACGATCAATCATTATCATGATTTAATAGTGTTTCAAACTATGAATGCGTAAATTCGGCGACCACGGTTCTAATAATAATCGAGGATTTTTTTAAATAATAATAATAACGCACACACTCAACATAGCCCCGCACTAGGGAAACCCTGTGTCGCGGGTGCCATGGACACACACATAGACAACCACAAATTACACCCAAACTCACGAGAGAAATAAATGTAGGCCATACAAATATTTCTCCCGGCCCGGGAATGGAACCCGGGGACCTCTGCGTGGCAGTCCGGTATGGTAACCGTTCGGCCACGGAGGCAATTGGCAGATTAAGGCACTTCTTTTGTTTTTTTTTTTCATAATATCAAGTGACGGTACAAACAAGTCGTTCGCCTGATGGTAAGCTACACGCCTGTCCATAACAGTTGCAGTGCCACTCAGAGCTTTAAATCGCAAAGATCCGAGTGGCACTGCCACTATACCCGTCACCCTGAGCCAATTCCCATGTAATTTCACCAGCACCCTTAATAACCGGAACACAGTAACGCTGAGATTACTGCTTGTCGGCAGAAGTAGGTAAGGTGTCAGTACTTCCCTGGACGAACTCTTTCACAAGGAGCTCTACTGCTACTAAAATTCTTCCGTAGTTTATCAGAACAACAACCTATTTGTTAGTTGTATCGATGACATAGGTTAGTTCCATGTCATCGATAGAACTAACAAATACATCGTCGTTGATGTCTCCACAAATTATATGATATAAGCGTAGACTAGGGATTTCAAGTACATTTCCTTTAGATGCTTATCTATTCCGGGTAGTGTCTTATAAAGGGTATTCTTGTATTATCTATATATTACAGACAAAATAATCTGGTCCTATACTTACCATTCTCATCGCACCCATGAGGATCAAAGAAATAATAGTGATCATCATGTTCCCAAACAGCCATGGATCCACCTCGGGCTGTGATCACTCCAGCTTTGTTGTCTCTGAATAGCTGCTTGATAGAATCTTTGAGGGATAGGATTCCGGATCCCGGTTCTGGGTTCAGTTGCCCTGATATTTAAAATTGATTTAAGTAAAAACCTCAAACAATCACATATTATATCTTGCTATAGAATGAAGTGATGAGCTAACTGTACCAGAGTTTATAGGTGTACCAGAATCTCAAGGCATTAAATATTAGAGCAATCGAACGATTTTCAATTGGCAATGTTAACTTGTCATATGTCAATCCAAAATATTACTTGTGTCAAATGGCTGTCTGCTAAACTTTTTTCACTTGAAAATAACGATTTTGTAGCAATAATTACTGAGAATTCGCTTCAATCTCGAGCAAAAAACATTGTAATAATGTTTATCGCAAAATCAGCAAAGAATTAGGTGCATCTTAGTCGCAATTCACGATTTAGGAGCGGGTTTCAAATCTTGCCTATTAGTAGGAGTAAATAAACTTGATCTTTGAATTTTTAACGAAGCCAAATCAATGTATGTGGTACGTAATTTTTGTTGGTACCTACTGGTCTGCGAGACTATAGTATGTAGACAATGATTGGTAAAAAAAGGATAAATGACGTAAATGCGAGTTACTTCAAACTGCAAACGTAAATATCTATCACGCACAATCGAATTGATATATTTTTATTTAATTTTTAAATGTATCAGAAATTACTTACCTCTCTTACACACATATTCATACAGACATTAAAACATGTACAAGGATAGATCAAACCTGGTAAAAAAAATATATAAAGTATGCAATACATTATTCCCTACTATATTGATGTTCCCCACTACAAATTTCAACTTGTCTTTAACTGTCATCAGATTCTGGTACACCTATACTCAGGTTTATTATTAACTGACAGAAATCAGACACTTCCAATTTTTACTTCCTGTGATATGATATCTAAATGATCACATCAAATTGACCAGATGTAACAGTTCCTATACCTATAGCTGGTGGAATTGTGTTCTTTCGAATACCAAGAATATTGAAACTAAAAAAGGAAGACATGAATTCAAAATGTTGCAAACATGTGGATAATTTCGTTAATCGTTTCGTTGTTGTCGTTAATTTCATTTGAAACTGCTAGGTTTCAAAAACTAAATTCTTAATTTTCTTGGTTCGGGCACATAAGGACTAGAGATGAAACGGATAGTGATTTGGCCGGATACCGGATACCGGATATCCGGAGGGCATCTAGGTAAAAGTAAAAGTAAGTTTATATAGATAATTCAGATTATTTTTTCATTGCGGTAGTACCCCCTGGACAGCATGAGCGCAATTGCTCCCGAGGCCCCTACTCTATCCCTCGGACTCTTCAGCGCCTACTGGTAGGGACCATAGATATAAAAAAAGGGGAAATTTAGTATGGGGGCGTGGTTCGTGTCGCCTCGATATGATCAAAACGATCATATCGAGGTGACACGCCTACAAACATCGCCACAGTGACATGGCGATTGTTGTACATACAATTTCTCTCGTAAAACGTGAAAATGCCAAGTTGCAGCAATACACCTTGTAAAAATTGGAGTGAAAACAAAAATTTTAAGACCAGTGAGAAAACATTCCACCGGCTATTTGTATTTTTAGTTACTATTTCTATTATTATTCAATGTTTTCTTTTTGTCTCCATAGAAATTTCTAGACTCAAATATAGTGATGTTCATTTACGATGACTGATGTTTATCGACAATAAATGTTTACTGAAATGTTTGAATCTCTTACTATGATCTTTGTAATTAAAGTCCCTAAAATATCGAAGCGAAAAGCATTCACGTTAAATAGATTTATTTATTTTATTATTATTACTAAACCTTTTATTTCGAGTAACTTTAACACAACTCAAATTTCGGACAGCCGGAAATTGAAAAATTTCATGTCAATTTGTATGTTGCTGTTGCTTGAAGAAAAATGTGTATGTATTATTGTTTTAGATAATTTAGATATTTAAATTCCATTATACTCGTAGATTAAACGATTACGATTACGAAGAGTATCATAAATTTTTAAGTTTTTCCATAAGTTAAAAATAAAAGAAGGTTGTATTGAAGCAGCAGGAAAATCGAAAGATTGGTTTTCTTATTAAAATTTCTTACTTTGTTTAAATTTCCATAGTAAATACATTTAGAAAATAAATAAAATAAAATCGGTTTTATTTTACATGTATGCAAAATAAATTGGAAACAATTATAGAAAATTACATAAATCCTACATAAAAAAACAACATAATTTAATTCATTAAATTCGTTGATGGTTCGAGTTTACTCTTGGCAGTGACAGCTTCACCAACTAGTGGTAACGTATAATGGAAAACTGACACTGGTGACGATCTCCATATTTTTTATATTATGACACTGGCCCAAGCCTAGTGGCCGCCATTAATAATTTATATTAATATATTAATTTAATAATACACCAGTACCAGTGTAGGTATAGTATGAAAAATGGAATATTTTTTTAATATTAAAAACAGCCACATGGTTTCTAAGTATCGATTAGGTAGGACCACATCCTTCTTTGAGTAGCGTCAGTTTAAGGTTAATAAGGTTAACAATTCACGGAGCGGTTTCCATCCGCGCCCGCTGGTGCTGCTAGACAGCGGTTTTATTTCAATACTCACGATAGCCGCCCCGTTCGCGGGTACGAAACCGTTGCGATTGCGGAACGGACCGCGAAGTCAGTGGGAGTTAATCGCAAGTCGCGCGGTTAATAGAGAACTCACCGCGTGCGCCTGCACCACATTGCGCCTGAACCGACCGCCAAAGTGCGCGGGCGACGACGGCCGTCAAGCGCGCAGGTGATCGCGTCCTGCGCGGTTCTACTAGTGTCCCGCCGCGGCAACCACGAGCAACCGTCACTACTACAGGCGTAAAACGCGCCGTGAAATGTGCTACTAATTTTACATACTTAACTATTACATTCTACAGAATGAAACATGAAGTGAAAACCGCTCAGTGAGTTCTTAGTGTAACCAAAAATGAGTTTCAGTTCTAACGTGTAATAGTTAGCTACAATATACTAGTACCATTTTTAGTAAAACGCCACAATGATGGTGAATGGATGAACCAGGATGAAAAAATACTGTAATATTGTAATACAACTTTTACTCAAGTGACTGTAAGTTTAATTTTGTTAAATTTTAAAATTATGTTACGTCGTTTTCACGTATTTAGCCATACCCAATCAAAATCTTTAAGTTATGGTAGTAGATAATAGAGCGTAAAGTTTGAATTGCACACAAGCTAAAAAGTAGCCCTAACATCGGTACCCGATCTTACATAGCGTTACTTTACATTTAACAAAGTGTGCGTTTATAGTGAAAAACTGTCCTCTGAAGCTGGTCTCGTTTATGAAAATAAATAAAATCAACTTTTACCACTTACTGCAGAAAAATTGCAACGTTATTTATCTTCATAGTCCTTTCAGTTACAAATAATAAACAGATTGTCAACGAACCTGCAGTTACCGTTTATCCTATTACTATAAGTTTTTTTTATCAATAACTCAATATATTTGGCGTACTTAATTTAATACAATAACTAAATTTTTTCTGTTTTAAATATCCGGTATCCGGCCGGATAGTGCTCTACTATCCGGTATACGGCCGGATAGTACAAATAGGCCGGATACCGGATAGTTACCGGATATCCGTATCATCTCTAATATAACACTGTTTATTAATTTTAATGTCTGAATAGAGTTGTGTGTTTTACTTATGAAATATTTCTTCCTAATTTATTTGTAAATTATTTTTTTTATTACTATTTACACTTTTTGATAGTATGTGGTCACCTATGTGTAAATTAATAATGCATGAAATATAAATATTAGTAACTGTAGTTGTGTCTAATAAATAAAGAAATAAAATTAATTGAAACGAATTGGTGCCAAATATACACCAGACACATTCAGCAACTCCAAGCAAAAATTCTTTTCTTTTTCAAACATTCTTTTTTTAGTGAATTTCGAAAATTGGTTTAAAGGAAAATTTTAACTGAGAATTGTCACAGCTAGAAAACTTAACAATCTTGTCCTGTCTTATCTTAAGCTCGACTTACCGCTGTACAAGCTATCCTGAACATCGGTTTCAATGCAATCGTACTCCGTAACCCTGAATCTCGGTAGGACATCAGCTGCAGCCAAAGTCCCACTTGGACTTGGCTCTTCTTCTTCGCCCTCCATTTCTTCTTTTACTGGTGTATTGTCAAAGTTAATGCCCAGTTTTTCTAGATGCTCCATTGTGTTTTCGTAGAGAATGTCACCTCGTACCAGTGTCTGGGAAGGAAAATTTGGATTATCATTGACACAGTAGTTAGGAGTTAGACTTCAATACTTTATAGTAACAGGTTAATGTAGAAAAATTATAAACGCAGTAACATCCCTCTTATTAAAGATTTTATTCTAATATCTGCTATTGGTAAAAGTAGAATCCATATGTAGACTTTTGGAAGTATTTTTACCACATCCTTATTTTTTAGGCAAATGATCTTGATTGTCAACACGTTCGACATTTTTTAAAAGTATACCATCGTCATTTATTTATATTTTGTTATTTTCTTTCTATTATGACATTAATTTAATATGTAATTCTTAATTAACATGATATTACGTTTTGCTGTTTTTTCCCTAATCATGTTTTTGTATAAGTGGTTTGCAAAACTACGTTTTGTGTTGACAATCAATACTTTGTTTCGTAGTGATGGCCTGAATAACATTACGTATTATGTTAGTTTACTAGAAATTAGAATAAGATCTTTTTGTATTAGTTTACGTTAGTTTAATTACAAGTAAAGATTTTTAATTCAATCAAAATCAATGATTGCAGATGAAAATAAGCGTCGTCTGCAGGAGTGTCTCCTGTGAGAATAGGATCAAGGAAACCTTATCGTGCACAACAAAAAAATGCATTATCGTTATCTTGAATTTTTTATATCAATCCAGACGTGATATCTCACCTCATCGACATCTTCAGGTGTCCACGTAGAAGGATCAACAACAGTAGCCATTGCAATAGCTGTAATCGCAGTTGGAGTTGCTTGCTTGTTACGATGATCTTCAGGGAATCTTTCATTGCCCTCGTGGAAGTGGCCGCGGACTATCCAGCGGTTTGGTCCAATGGCTGTGTTAATATGTGTCAATTTATAGAAAGTTAGGCATAATCCCATACGTAATTATAGGATGTGCTGTTAGTGAATAGTGTTCAAAACGGGTAACAAGCTACAAGCCATAAAAAGGCACACCTTTCATCCTATTCAAAGGCTCGGGTCTGTCTTCCAGCTCAAAAACTCCAACATCAGAAATACTGAAAGGTTTTCGCTTCATATCCCTAACATTGTCCATAAAATATTCGCACAGACCAGTTATGTTGGGAAAATAGACTAGGCAGGCTTTACCGCCATCTTGGAGGCCTACCTGCAATGAAAAAAGTCATGAGATTTAGAGATTCGCTTACGAAAGACCTTGAGATTTTTATCACACATCTACTGTACTTTTTACCTACTTTTTAGTGCACCCTCAATCTAGTTGAGACATCTAGTATATAACCAGAAATAGAGACGAAATAAGGGCCATCCATCCCTGATAATTCATCAGTCAAATGGCCTTTACATTACTCTTAAATATGAACTCTCGTTTGCACCGAAATGACAAATTAGAAAGTAGAAACAGTACTGCGCCGACAAGTTACCTGTGTGTACATTTCCGTATAGTCCAAAAATATTCTGTATTTATTGTGATAAAGATAATAACTCTAACATGGGGGCTGTTCCATTCGGTAGTATGGGAAAAACAGCAAAACATTGAAGTGAAACAATTGACGACACCCGTCGGAACACAGTTGTCGCCGTAATGATTTGGCAAAATAGTTTTTCTGGTTATATACTCGATGAAAGGAGATAAGCAATTCCCCACGTTACCCAGCATGTTTACTGAACCTTGTGTTGAACTGCTACTAGTAGGAGGAATCCGGTATATTGGACTTCACCCACTTTCCGTTGTCACAGTCACATTTGCGGTTGTATAACCTCAACTTTTCAAGGTTCTACAACCTCAAATAGCTTTGGTTGATTCTGCATAACAACGAAAGTGTTGAATCAATCAATCGGGGAAAAAAAATTACGATAGAAAAAAAAACAAACTTACCTCGAAATTTTACAAGAAAATTTTTATTCAATAGTACAAAGTGTCAAGCTTGACGTGCTCTTGACTGTACTTTACATATACGAAGGATTTCTTTTTTATATCAACTGAACGAAATAGAACACGTATAGTAATTATAGTATACGATTTTCAAATAGCTTTAATGTCATTTGTAACAAAATTAATTCCGAAATAAAACCAGTGTCCCTGCCACTCGGCCCAAGTAGCATGAACCGTATTACGGGTACGGGAAAAACTTATATTCGAGCTGAGGAAGTATCATGCGCTCCACATTCTATGTTAATTAAAATATATAATCATATCCCTCATTATATTAAAAATTTAGATAAAAATAAGGTTTTTGAAAAACAATTAAAGGATTTTCTCATCCTAAAAACCTATTATAATATGTCTGAGTTTTTCGATGATAAAAGTATTTGAAAGTTGGCCAAGATAAAGAACTCATCTTTTAACTGACTGTATGTCTCATAGTTGATGCTTCTACATGATTGGGATTGTTTTGGGGCTTAAATGTATGACTTATATGTATATAGTGCTGAACATGTATAAACAAAAAATTAATTTAATTTAAATATAATTTAATTTAATTTAAATATAATAATAATACCCATATCAATTAATTACCTACGTTTTAAGTTTGGATTGTTCCTAAATTATATTGTAACTATCACTTAACTTTAATTTGCAACGCCCTTACAGGGTATCACATGTATGCTGTCATAGTTTTAAGTTTATTAAATTGTACCATACCTGTGAAAAGCAATAAATAAATGAAATGAAATCTCTTAACCAATTTTCAATAAATCTATAGATGTAATTTAGAGATCGATCTTTATTTTTATACAAAAGTTATAATAAATTATAGTTTATAGTGAAGGACGCTCTGGATGGATGAAAAAAAAAAAGATGGAGTGACGATTTGCAAAAGGCTGTTGGCAGCAGATGGATGTAACGAGCTGAGGACCGGTGGAAACGGCGCGCACTGGGGGAGGCCCATGTCCAGTAGTGGACTACGATAGGCTGTTGATGACAATAAATTATCAACTGTCTAAATCCTCGTTACAGTTCAGAATCTTACGATAACTCAGTTGTCGACCGATTCTATTTGATATCGTACAATTTCTTTTCATTTTTATTCAAAACACCCGAACCGAACGTCGAACTGCCATATTCGAAACCGAACCGTCCGAATCCTATTGTTTACAAAGCAAGAATGTAATATGAAAATCTTTTATTATTTTAAATAAAATCTGGATTTTGTTCAATTTCATTAATTTATTTTAATACAAGACCATTGACTTACAAATAAATGGACGACGGGTCTAATACAAAAATCACGAAAAAAATGTCCCAAGTCAACCTATTCGAAATTTAAATTGTAATGTCATCGCAGTATCGCGCTGTCAGTAGAACAAATGAAGACTAAAGCGGAGTTTGGCGCTCTGTATACGATTTTAGCGCCTTACAAGTGCGGACACTTTTTAGCGCGGACCCGACGTCCATATAATTGTAAGTCAATGTACAAGACTAATGCATTCCTATACTAAGGCGTTTAAAGTCTTAGAAATGTATATAAAAGGATTTAATTTTTCTTATAATCTGTATTCGCCGACTAATTCCATAAACGTTGTTGGATAACGTTATCATATCCGAATGCGAATCAAATGTTTTAACTCGAATGTTCTGAATAGTTCGGAAAGCGCGTTCGATGCGAGAACGATATCCAATCGAACGATTCGATTAAAATATCAAAAAATCGGGGTCAAGGACCGAGAAAAACGGTTAAGTTTGTTTGGTCGCCAGTCAATATAGCAATGGACGAAAAGACAAGAGCTCCGTGAAACAACCCAAAGCTGAACCTCACGGGACCAAATACATCAGCAAATTGTTAAATGATTTGCTTACCCTGCTTCCGGAGCGATCAGCAGGCCATGGGTGATATAAATAATATCTCCCTCCTTCGTACCATATAGCTGTCTCGTATTCACCAGGAATCTGAACGTAAAAACATTATAATAAGCTTACTTTAAGCGCTTTATGGTACGAAAACTCAATGTAAGGTTAAAGTAATATTGTTTTAAGAGGTTGTGGTAGGCTCCCTGGTCAATTGAGTTGGCAGGAACGGTGAAAGAAAGAATTATTTGATCGTTACTAGTAATACAAAGTAAATCTTAATATTAAACATTGAGATCCAAAATGGTCACCACTCAGCATTTGTCGGGTTGTGTATGCAAAACAACCCAACGCTGATATTCTGTGGTGGCCGAGAAACGGAGTGGACGCCACCGACAACGAATCAATGTATGTTAAACTTAAAATATCAAAACAAAACACTCTACAGAGAAAAATATTTATATCTAAATACCTAATATTTATATATACGTAAAATTTTGTACGATAAAATAATAAATCATTATATGCTGTAGTAACAATTTAAAATTTATAATTAAAATCTATGATGTAAAATAAATAAATAAATAAAATCTATATCTAATTCTCCTATAGTTTATTTAATTTTCGTCATGTTAATCCACAAGACATCATAAAAGCTTTTAAGCCAATACATGTTAAAAAAACTAAAGATCTCTGGGGCATATCAACTAAAGTTATAGACTCAGTTATTAATCTCATTTCCCCACAATTAGCTGTAGCTTTCAATAGGTGCGTTGACGAAGGTATTTTTCCCGATTTAATGAAATTCAGCAAGGTTATTCCCTTATTCAAAAGCGGTAGGAAAGTTGATCCTAGCAACTATAGGCCCATTTCAATTTTACCAGCTTTAAGTAAAATATTCGAAAAGGTTATGCTAACTCAATTACTGTCCTATTTCGGTAGAAATCATATTTTTCATAGTAAACAATACGGGTTTACTAGTGGTAGATCGACTAGCGATGCGGGGGTAGCGTTACTAAAACACATCTTTGATGCTTGGGAAAGGTCCCAGAACGCTATTGGTGTTTTCTGTGACCTCTCAAAGGCATTTGATTGCGTAGATCATAATACTCTTATTAGGAAGCTGGAACATTACGGTGTAAATGGCAAGGCGTCGAAACTTGTCTCGTCATATCTCAACGGTAGAATTCAGAAAGTAGACATAAATGGAGTGACTTCTTTGGGTTCTCCAGTAAAAATGGGTGTCCCGCAGGGCTCAATACTTGGACCTTTCTTATTTCTGATTTATATTAATGATCTGCCATTCTTTGTTAAGGACCATTGCGAAATAGTGTTGTTTGCTGATGACACATCCTTGATTTTTAAAACAGACAGACATGACATTAACTATGACCGTATTAATGATACCCTCTCTAAGATAGTTTATTGGTTTAATGCTAACAATTTATTGCTTAATGCCAAGAAGACAAAATGTGTTAAATTTGAATTACCTAACGTAAAATCGACTAGTCCAAGCATAGAAATAAACGGAGAAAAGTTAGACCTTGTTAATAAAGCAGTCTTCTTGGGAGTGACCTTAGATAGTAAACTTCAGTGGTTTCCACATATATCGTCTCTGGCCAGCAGATTAAGCTCCGCTGCATACGCAGTCCGCAGAATACGTGAGCTTTCCGATGTTAGTACTGCTAGACTAGTTTACTTTAGTTACTTCCATAGTATAATGTCCTACGGGATTCTCATGTGGGGTAAAGCGGCAGATATTCAAACCATATTTGTATTGCAAAAACGAGCGATTCGTTCTGTGTACCGTCTAGGCTCTCGGGTATCTCTCAGAGAAAAGTTTAAGGAGACTGGTATCATGACTGTGGCATCACAGTACATTTACTCAAATATTTTATATGCCCGTAAAAATATACATAATTTCAATAAGAAAGAAGATATCCATAATATTAACCTTAGAGCTAAGTCTAAACTCATGGTACCACGATTTCGTTTAACCAAGGTAAACAACTCTTTTATTAACTGTATACGTTTTTACAATAAGATTCCGGAGCATATATTAAGTTTATCATTTCCTAAGTTTAAAAACTACATTAAAAATATTTTGATCGAAAAATCATATTACAAAATTGAAGACTACGTGTTAGATAAAGATGTATGGAAAGACGACATGGCTCCAGAATCCACACAAATTTGATTCAAAGTGTATTCCATAGCATTTAAGTTTATTTGAAAAGAGCAATCCCTAGAGTTTCTTGCTCGTTCTTCTCAGGGTCAGCATAGTGAACGAGCAGTAGCTTAAATATGACGTTTTCAAGTGTAAATTTATTTTGCCTATGGAATAAATAATCTTTGACTTTGACTTTGACTTTGACTCCTGTTAAAACGATTATTAATCTTTAAATTAACTTGTATAAATTAAATTGAATATAATGATTTATAAAACGTGAATTCCCAAACCAACTGCCACTTATCACATATTTTTTGCCTACCTAATAAATACAGTTTAAATTTACGTTTGAACGTGCTAACTAGTGCCTAATATGAACGATTTTTCAAAATCGAATACGTCGTTTCGACGTAGGTTACCTTTCTAGGGTTAATCAACTTGTTATTGTCCAACAAATCCAGTAGCAAGAGAAGATTTTTTTAAATTAATTGCATAAAAAAACAACCCAAAGTCAAAGAGTAGAACAAAAATTCATTTTATTAGCAAATAGAAACTGCCCTTTTTTCTTAAATCATACATAACAGGGTACCTCATAACCCGTATCAGTTTTTTTATGATAGCAAGTGTCAGGACGAACATGTCGTGCGCCTAGTATTAAGCGACACGTCTAACCATAGCAATCCCAGACGCGAAGGTTTGAGGGACACTGCCACTGAGTATTTCAGTGAGCACTGAAAATCATACTCAAGCCCTTGCCATTAGGGTCGTATTTCCAGTGCTTGAAATCATACTCAAGTCTGCTCAAGTCCTGACTTGAGCATTGAGTAGAGTTCTGGAATACGACCCTCAGTCTTTTAAGGCGTTTTATAACGACTCAAATCCATTTTACAGGACTCGGCTCTAAAATTAAGACTGGTGTTTTGAGTGTGGTGGTTCGAGTGTTTATTAATAAGACTCATTCGTTATTCTAAAAGACTCCAAAGACTTAAACGACTTGAACGACTTGAAAGACTTAAACGACTCGAGTTGTTTGAAAAGGACTTATACCTATTTTATGTCCTATTAAACCTGAAGTTTATAAATAAAAATGACGTAAGTAGTATGTAGTAAATAATCACGTTTATTTACTTATAATAAAAATCGTAAAATATATATCTTGTGGGTAGAAATGAAATCACGCCATACGGCTCATGACTCGCGACTCCCGAGGCTTCGTTTCGCGAGGTCTTTTTAGTCATTTTAGTCCTATAAGTCTTTTAAGTCTTCAGTTTAATGGTCATATTCTAGAACTCTACTCAATGCTCAAGTCAGGATTGCACTGGAAACACAATCACTGGAAATACGACCCTAATGGCAGGGACTTGAGTATGATTTCGAGTGCTTTAAACCATACTCAAATCCTGACTTGAGCATTGAGTAGAGTTCTAGAATACGACCCTTAGTCTTATGACTCAAGACCGGAGGGTTAAAAGACTAGACTAGTAATGTGGCGTTGAAAAATAGTCAAGGTTTTTTAGAAGGCCTTAAAAGACTCTCTGAAGAGTCTCTTCCATCACTATGTCACACTGAGATATAAGTTGACAAGTGCCATGTGCCGTAATTTCACAGCAACCTGACCCTTCAAAACCGAAACACAATAATTCTCGCATTACTGCTTGGCAGCAGAAATGGGTGAGGTGACAGTACTTCCCTGTCTTTCACAAGGAGCTCTACAGCTTGGAAAGTCAAGGCTCAGACTAGGAAATTTCCATTAATATGACCAGAGCTAACTATTATCTCCAGAGCATTAGCCAGAACATCCAAACCAGAATCAATTCAGAAGGGTTCGTTCCCCAATTTGATGGAATCAAGGTCAACAAGAAAATCCTACGGTGATCACATTTGTTCATAATACTCCTGGTAAGACGAGAAGCATGTCGAAATATAGCCGCTAGAAAATAAAGCCCAAAATCATGTACCTGCAATATCCCAGAATCAGACTGTTTAAAGAACTGTTCAAGTCCACGGCAAATGTCGTAAACTTTGGGGTCTCTCGACATCAGTCTGCCCCACACAGCTATACCGCGTTCCTGAAATACATACAACTGTAAGTCGACTAGAGTTAGACCGTACAATTTCGGTATTGTACAGAAGAGGTATAACCTTATTACCGGTATTAAAAGTAAATTATGCAGGGATGTTAACATTCGGACGTCTTTAATGGATCAAACTAAATGGCCTGCAGTCAGACAGGCCATTATTATTCCAAAACTAAAAATAGCGCCATCTAACATTTGTATAGTAAACTACGACACCAAGATCTATGAAGGCTATACCAACGTCAATATTATATGGCACCGTACTGTAAGTAGTAAAGACAGTCCATACTAGATGTCGCTACTAGACGTACAAAAAATACCAAAAAATTAACGAATCTCCTAAGTGAGATTTTCTTTTTGAATCGAAATTATACCATACCAACGTACCTTGTGTTTATATTCCTTATCTCGTATTCTAAACGTCTCCTTCAATTCACCAAGAACCAAAGGTCGAATTGGTCCATGTCTTTCCACTAACGACTCCTGTAACGTAGAAAAATCAGAATCATGTAAGCAGGGTTTCAATAACAATGTAAGCAATGAAATTCAGAGATTGTACTACGACTACACTGGTCCATAAAGTTTACAGGTTTTGGGAAAATTCTGAGCTATCTCAGCCAGCGTGTTTTTCACGACATTTTTTTCCACCATAACAACAAGTGATTATTAGTAATCTATGACATGCCATGACTTCAGAACAATTGCGAATAGTTACATTGCAGTTTTCTGGTAGCTTTAAAGGTACCTGACCGAGTGAAGAGAAAGTTTCTCTCAGGTAGTGCTAAGGATTTTTGTCTTTGTTAAAATCTTTGTATCAATTACAACATCTTCTTTAAGAACTGCGACACGACGTCAACTTTTTCCCTTCGTCATAATCAACCCATTTATGCGTTCCACTGCTGGGCAAGCGTCTCCTTTCAGGTGAGGGTTTAGGTCATAGCCTGGCATGACCTCACACGTTGTCCGAGGGTTGTGAACCTTCTTCGAAGTGATTTTCTTTTAGATAATGGTAAATTTGAAACTGAATTTCGCACATAAATTTTGAGAAACTTGGATTCGAATCCACGGTCTCTGCTTGACGGGCGGTAGGTCAAACCATTAGGCTTCCGTGGCTAATTTTTTCCCCTTATTTGATCTAAGTAACTTCGCCTAGGTCTTCGCCAGTCTATCTTTCTTTTTCCTTCGATCTTCTCTTTTAAAAAGTTTCTAAGAAATCAATCAACCATACCCTAAATATATTGTAGCCGATGTCCAAAGTCTCATCCAAAACGTCCTCGTTCCAGGCTCGGGCTCGATGCCTCTTCAACATGGCTAACGCGGCGACGCAACACGAGATTCCCGTATAGCTCTTGAATAGTGAGTATCTGTGGTTTCATTATTAATTTCGAGTTATTCTTATATTATAGTTCTTAAATAATAATAATAAATAATAAGGAATCTGCCTCACGAATGAGTAAGCACCATACCTTTCTACGTTAGTTTTGATTATAGTGACCTATCTACCCTTACGAGAATACGAGAAGGACACTATAACATGTGCGCGCGCGCACCTTACAAGCTCAGGTTCTGACCCCAGATCAGCCAGTGTACAGGGTTCTCAAAGATCTCTGTCACTTGACTTCATCCGGTTCCTCCAGAGGCTAGTGCCTCGGGTAAGCCGCCCCGACTGCACGTACAGTACCCTCCCTATTTTCCAGATAGATACCGGAGCTGCAGGCACGCTCACTTTCCGACGCTGAAAAACTACATCTCTCCAGTTCCCAATAACCTAAGGGGCTGGAGGGACCGGAGGATAGCTAGCTTATCCTCTACTAGCTCTCCGGGCTAGTGCCGGAGATGCCAGTCGCAGTGTCCTGCGAATGTCCGGACATAGCTTTCAACTTAAAGGGCAACTCACGTAACAATTACAAGATTTGATTTCGTAACTAACAATTATTTGAATTTCAGTTTGAATTTGGTTGCTCCGACATCTATACCTTTGAATAAGAAAGTTAACATTACCTGCGAGTTGCAAAATGCCTGGTTGCCCTTAGTATCCATTTTTCTGGGCCAACTTGGTTATATTGTGACTTGAAATTCTTATTGGCGAAGTCAGCAGGGCTGTGCAAGAATGCTTCTTCTTGCACCGGTAGTGGTATGAAGTCGTCTCTGAAAAGATAGTTTAAAGCGGAATCAATCGGTATTGTCAAAATGACAGCGTATTAAGGCTGCCATTCCACCAAAGATGTGCGACGTAGCGAGACGGTGTGCGAGGAAAAAATCTACCAATAGGATTACTTCATTTTCCTTGCCTCGCTTAGCGCAGCTCCGATGGAAAAGAGTTAGCGGAGCTAAGTATTTGTATATACAAAATAGCGAGAGATATGTGAAAGGACTGGTGTAGGAAGCTAGAGCTACTAAAACTATGACACTAAGTGACACTGACACATCGCCACCGCTCACCACACCACACCGTACCCCGCCCGCGCATAACTGAAAAGAGTCCGTAACGCATTCTCACACCATATCCTCGCACCGCCTCGCACATCTCTGGTGGAAAGGCAGCCTTATCCATCATCTTTTCATTATAAGTTACCGTGCTTTTACTGTTTCAAGTAAATGTAATACGCCTATTGACGCAGTCACGATCTCAAGAATACAGACGTCGTGATCCCACTGCGAGGACACAATCTCAAGAGAACCTTACTATCCCATTTACAAAAACGAGATAGATTAGTTTTCCTTTGTACGTTTTTTTTATCGGTGAATAAAAATTTTATGTACCTATTGGATTTCATTTTATTATTGAGGTTCCGTATTATGGTCATACTTACCGGCCATACATATGACTATCAGGTTGAGGGGTATATAGAAAGAAGTCCTCGGTCCCTTTTAGTGCCAATATTTGATCATTCGTCAGTACGGGCGGAGGTCTCTCCGGTGCCACGGGTGGCACTATACCTTGCTGTAGGATAATAATTAATTGAAAAATCCATGTTCAGTTATTATAGAATAGTGACTGCCAGGGTTATAGTGATGAAGTAGGATATAAAACATGCTGTTTGTCATTTAGTGCGTGCAAATTTAGTGCAAAATTTCTGATTCGCTAAAGACGCGCAAGATGTGCATGAACTGCCGAAGGTTTCTCAATTATTTTTGCTATCCTGAGACCACGAGAAAAACCTCATTTACTTAAACACATCTCCGTTCTTTGTCTGCCTTAGGGTCGGTTCAGACGACAAGTGGCGAACGCGCGTTCAGCTTACAGCTATACCAATTTTATTCATATGTCGGCGTTCACAAGCTGGCGCACATTTACCGCAATAATCGGGAATATTATTAAAAACGTTTTGTTTGTTGTCTTGTCTAATCGCTCACGCGATATATGCAGCCGTAGACGCATACCACACCTAGAGGTGCCGGTGATGATTTTATACCGATTTATCGGATATCGAAGTTATAACAGGTAAAAGAACTAATATTAATTGCTATTTCGGTAACTACTCTAGCAGACCATAAAATTTTTAATGCCTGGGTCTGTCATTTAAAAAAAATAAACAACTTCAAAAATACGTCACGACAATCGTGTGTGTTATTGTTTGGGCTGGTGATTTCGGTGTTTATTTATTGAAAACATACCGTAAGTAGCGTTTTTTAAGTTTACCCTGAATATAAATGTTTATAAACTATACTTTAAGGAGTAATTTCATGGTAAACGTTAGAACCACTCAAACGGAATATTATCATATTTATCCAAGTACACCAAAAATTTCATTAGTGCTTTGTAAGTGCAGGATTTGCGGTGTATTACTGCATTTTATTTGAGATGTTTTTGTTGGTAGTACGGAGGGTATTTATTTAGCAATGCAGAATAATAATTTTTATTTATAAAAACTTGTATTTAAAATGAATCCTTTTTTATTTTGCGAAACCAAATAGCCGCCATGTTGCGGTAGGAGGAGCGCATCGCGTGAGCGGCTAAAAACACATCCGACAGACAACTACACACCCCTACACACATCCCGTCTAGGTATATTTGTTTAAATTGTAACGGAAGCGGAATATAGTCGCTCATAACTTCTACTAGATTTGTATTAAACTTAATTGATACTTACATTCTTACTCTTATCTGTCCCCACGCCAGTCACACCAAAAAAGTCGTAGATACGTTTCTTGCGACCGGACTTTGACGTAGCTAAACTCAAAGCGCTCAGGGAGTCTAAATTATGTTTATTCTGGAAGCAATAATAATAATAATAACGGTTACCATGCTGGACTGCCACAAAGAAGTCCCGGATTCAATTTCCGTGCCGGGAGAAATATTTGTATGACCTACATTAATTTCTCTCGTGAGTTTCAGTGTAACTTGTGGTTTTCTGTAAGGAGGTCATAGTAAATCATACAAGTGTTTTTGCAAAATTGTGTTGCAGAAGTTAACTATCGTGGCGTCATCTTTGAGAGTATATTCACAGCTTGATGACAAATATTTCTCCTTTGTGCTCGTACTAGGATTACAGAAACCAGCTTTTGAATCGAAAGTTTGTGTGTCTGTAAACTTACTTGGTACAACTTCTCATCTATCAAAACATTGAAGGTGAGCGCTTCCAATTCACTTCTACAATGGATCTTACGTCCTTTCAGGTCAAGGTCGTATCGGGGCTCACGGATGATAGGTTCTTTTTGGTATATCTGTAATTGTTTAATAAAATTATTACTAAGAGTTTTAGGCATAAACGTAAAATAAGTTAGATGACTTTATAATGCAGTAATATAATATACCGGGTTTGTTACTAGAAACGTTGCTGAGTTGTAACTCTCTGCTTGTCATAAATTGGACTCTACCATAGAAAAGAGCATAGTAGAGCTGGCTGAGTTATGTACGCATTTTATGAAAATTCACACACTTATTGGATTTCGCTTCAGACCCCTCGATGTTAATAATTGATAGTATTGCTAAATCTCTTTAAACGTCGCAAAATATAGATATTTCTTTGAAATAAAATTGGGCTGAGTCTTTTGGTTTGTTGGTTAATGTCAAAAAGCCGCTGGGAATGATTGTGGGAAGTGAGCATACACGTGGCACTTTGGACATTATATTCTGTCCGAATTATACAGTACAATTCAACGCCTATTGCCTATACTTTCTCTGCTAATCTGGATCGGTTTGGGGGTTGTAATTTAGCTTGGACTCCACATATTAATGAAGTCAGTCGAAAAGTCCATTTGTCCTTGCATTCGCTTAAGCGCCTTCAAAACTTTATGCCTTTAAACTCCTAGATGTTACTGAAGAACTGCTAAATAACCTTGAACGGTTGCAAAATCTATGTGTTAGGTTGGCCTTCGTAAATATGATCGAATCTCATTGTCGCTGTCATCTTAAGTGGCTTCCCATTCGTCTCCGCAGGAATTTGCATATCGTCTCTCTTCTTTACAACAAAAAAGAGAGCGTTTCAGCTTTCTCAGGTCCCAGAATAAGATTTGACGCTCTGGTTAAATTCCGGTTTTTATTCTCACTTCTTTACGGTTCATGTGGTTAGACTTTAAATCGCACTTCCCATTACTGTACATGATAATAAATCCTTAGATATCTTTAAACTGCGAGTCAAAGAGCACTTTCTGTGTTCCATCCATTTTACGGATATTGTTAATATGAAATAAATGTATTTATCTGACTATTCTGTAGTAATTTAATGTTTGCTATTGTTTTTTATTTTATTTTATTACGTAATTTAATTTTGTTTTGTTATGCACGTAAACAGATTATTGTAATTATTATATCCTGTATTTTGGTCTGCAGGAAGAAATTTCTTATAGAAATAAGCAGTACATTTTGTTTGTGTTTTCCTTTTATGAAATGTAATCTGTGCTGTACAATAAATAAAATAAATAAAAGTCTGAGCAACAAGAGTCTAGAGAACAAAAAGAGACAGATGAAGGGACAAGAATACCGCAACATATCACACGGCGACCTCCCAAAGGACGACTCCCATTCTGAGGCGACAGTAAAGGTCACACATGCATTATTTTTATTTTTAAATTTCCCATATAATTTTTATTGGCTATGTTTATCTTTCACATTCAAACCAATATCCGCTTCTTTGGTCATACTTTAATTTCATTAGTAAGGCATAGCGCCGAATCTTTCTCTCTCCCTTTTTTTGACTGTGCTAAAATGCCTTTGAGAGAAGAGAATAGAAGATAAGAAGTCGCCACTAAAGTGCGCTGGCTTCGTATTTGCTGGCTCGCGGTACGGCAAGAGAACCTCGCCGCGATCACTTCGAGAAAAAAGAAAAAGAAATAAAAGAAGATCGAGACGCTACGCTGTTCTTGCAGATGACGGACATTTTTTCATTGAAAAACCGCATTATTTTAAGTCATTTGTTTGCGTGTGAATATTCCTCTGGCGACGTACACGTCCAGCGTACAAGGCCCTAAAGAGGAATTCAAGGTACGGCACAGTTTTTCTTTATAATATTTATTTCTATTTTTTATTCTTCATTTTCTCGATAGCCGTAAATCCGACTTTCCTTACCTTCTTCTAGAACTGCGCCTTACAGTCCATACCACCATCAAATTTAATAGGTTGCAAAACCTCCCAGCCGCTTTAAAATCTCGTTTCATGCATTAGGTAACGTACTTTCGATACCATTTGAAAGGTTTTCGCCTGGGCACACTTTACGATTACAACCTGGACTTACTCCGTTCTGGACTTCTTGACGCTTCGAAGAGTTTACATTTTCATGGAACTGAAGAGGCGGGTGTCAGTATCTTCTACCCGTGCTAGTTTTTCTAACTACCCGCACTTGATCTTCATTATTTATTTGCGCACTAGTGTTCTCACTAGACCGACACACAACAGTCACGGCATCCGCCGACTTGGGCGATACTTTATGTCGTTTACATTTGCTGATAACTGGATCCCATGACCATGAAAGCTTAAAACCGTCTTCCCGGTTGAAATTACGGTGTTTTTTTAATTTCAATAGCTTCACGTACGATTCTACTATAGTGATGACGTTCTGTAGGAAGGATTTTGGGAACTTGGATATACTCAGAATTGTAAAGGAAAGGAAGCTGCAGTATTTTGGCTACGTAATGAGGGGCCAACAGATACCGGATTCTTCAACTAATAATACAGGGGAAAATCCAAGGAAAGCATAGTCGTGTCGGAAGGAAAACCTCGTGGTTGAAGAAACTGAGAGACTGAGAGACACAAGAGAGAGTTTCCTCTTTCGTGCGGCAGCTTCAAAAATGAGAATAGCCATGATGGTTGCCAACTTTCGTAGAGAAGTGGTACACTTAGAAGAAGAAGTAAGTAAGTTGAAAAAATATGAGCAATTAATACTTTTTGGATCAACTGAACAAATGTGTTTATCCATTTATAATATTCTACCAAACAGCTTTTCGTGTAGGGAACTGTTGGTCAGGGAACACTGATACCTCAAAAACAGCCTTTTTTATTGAACTTTGTGTCGGCGTCTAAATCTAATCTGTCACTATATGAAAAATAAAGGAAAGATACGGTATGTAGGCGTGGCTTTTAGTTGAAGGCGCTTCCAGTTTTCTATTACATCTGCGTCAAATCTAATAAGAAACGTTACCTGTAATGCCAGGTCCACGAGTCTGACTTGCGTTTTTCTTTGCTTGCATTGGCTGGGTCACGTCGTAGAAATCTGCATTCCGCGCAAAAGCGTTCACGAGTCTTCCGCGGAAAGACTTGCGTCTTGTCTTTGTTTTGGTTTTATTGGGTGCGTGGACGCTGTTGCTCTGTGATTGGCCAGTGGTGAAGATTGATCTTTGCGTACGCGCGAAACGAGTCACGCAAGCAAGCGAAAAACGCAAGTGATAGACCGGCACCCGGCACCCGGCATGACAAAGACAGTTCGATGAATTAGTTTTTTAAATGTTGCTGGCTATACGGCGGTGTAACATAATGCAGAATTCTCACCTCTACGTCAGTGAATGTGATGGTTGGTGGATTCAAGGCATAGTTTGGATTGTCAGTATCCGCATGGTTATTGAGAAAGTCTAGGACAAATGACGTTGTACCAGGATATCGAAGTATACCCGCAGCGCCGGATCTGAGGAAATATAAGTAAAGGGTTAACATCAAGGAACCTTCGGTTTTTTTAATGATAGCACGTGACAGCGACATGCCTATCCAAAGCAGTGGCAATGCCGTTTAGAGCTTTAAATGCCACTGCGCCTGTCACTCTGAGATATAAGTTGACAAGTCCTCTGTCCCACAGCGACTTCTATAAGTTTGGACGAAAGCGACAGTTTAAAGATGGCTGTCGGTATTTTGGTCTTGAGTGTATCAAGTGTCGCGTCCAGATCAAACCGATTTCGTCACCTGGTTTTTCACAAACTGCCTCCAGTCAAGACGGCAACTTGCCTATTCCTAATATATATTTTAAAAAGTAGACGTTTACCGGGAAATGTCTCCTACAATTTCTTCTATAACTTTCGACCCAGAGCCACCTATCTTCAATTAGAACGTGGAAGCTATCTGATATCGTCCATCTTTGTTCCAATTTCAAATAACTAAAATTGCGTGAACATTTCTAGTAATATAAATCGTGGACAACAGAAAACCAGAATGAGGTCTCGTGTACAAAACCTCATACAGGCAAGAAGGAAGAAGAAGAAATTACAATTTTCTTTTAACGAAAAAACGAGCCAAAATCTCTAACGGCCTACCTGTGTTAAATAACTCTTAATAAATAAATACAATTATTACGGTAATTAAGGAAAATAACACTTACAACGCATCAGTGGTGCCTTGTTCATCAAGCATATAAGGGTCGAATATGTAACATATCGATTTCACGTTACCGCCCTGTTCGGGTGGATTGCCCCATATTAAAAAATGTTTGGTGTTGTCAACGGTTAGAATTTTCATGTACTTCGTACCAGCTAGCTTGTTCATTAACCTGGAAGTGAACAATCGAAAAATTATGACGGTTGCACCAACTATCTGGTCTCCAATTTACAGACTATAGTGAGCTCGAACCTGCTTAATCGGAATAGATCTGAAACTAAATCTTGTAGTATCTTGTACCATTACCACTTTTTGAATATCAGAATGTTTTATGATATTCAATTATTTTTTCTAAGTGTTCGATGTTTGTATTAATAATTATAACAAACTAGTGGAGTAAGTTCACAAAAAATTATTGACTCTCATGGTAATAAAAATTTAATTCCAGTTAATAGCGACATCTCTAGCCAGGGCTGGTAGCTGTAAACTGGGTGACGAAATACCTTCATAGATTTCTCATAGATGGCGCTACGGCTAAAAAGTCGTTGAAAACCAAATACAAAAGATCCGACAATAAGCACATAGAAAAATTCGTGAGGTCCGCTGGTTCGTTCCGTGGCTTAGTTGGCATAGCGTCTATCACGGTTTTCTAGGAGAACTTAACACTTATAATTTTTTCTAAATGTTCAATCTTTCTATTAACAATTATAGTAAAAAGACTTTATTAAATAACTAAAAGAAATTACACAATCGTGGTATCTTACACTTACGTGGTTGTTACATTGACGAGGCAGTTAGACGAGAAAACAGCGTTCAGGATTAAGCTATTGCTACTCAGTTGGATGTTCAGATGGCACTGAATGTGTCTACACGAGCTTGAGCGAATACTCCTAAAGCGCTGCAGTGTCGCTCTATGCAAGCCAGATCCTGGTCTTTATTATCTTACCTCTGTTCCTTTCTACCTAACCACTTCAATGACGCAATTATCTTTCTTTACCCCTCCCTTTTTCTTTTACCTCAATTGTCATTTCTTATCCGCTTATTCTTCTGTCCTTTCCCTCTGCTTTATACTCCCTTTTGGTCGCTATCAGCGTGGTGTTGCCAACTTAATGGTATTACCATCTTGTATGAAGCTAAATAAAACTATTTGAGACACCATGTCACTAAATTAATAACCTACCCAAGCACTTATACATGGTTCTATTTATCTCTAACTCTCTTCTCTCTCGTCTTGACTGTCTTCATCCATATCTTTTTGTAAATAAGTGGACCCCTTTATTTCCTATTCCTCTTCTTCTTTATACCCCTCATTGCATTCTTAGAAAAAAAAACCATAAACTTACTCCATAAGATCTGGACTTTTGGTATTATTGTCAGGATGCCTGGCCAGTATCCCTTGATCAGTTTCTTTCGTCTTGATTGTGTACTTAGTGTCGCGGAAGAAAAAATACGGCAGTTGTTGATTCAGCTGGAGGGCTGGTTTGCCTGCAAGAGTTATGGTCGAGATCAATGGTAAGGTAACCTATCACAAACTCCGAATTTTATTTTTCCAAAATAACGTTTGTTCGAATTTTCACTACACGGAATACCGAATTATAACGAGACCGTTGTTCTTTTAGGACATGTTGGATGTTTATCGCAAAAACAAGATTAGGTTCGGTTAGGTTAAGTTTGGTTTAAAAGAAAAAACATTTTCCTCTCAAAATTACTTTCGAGGTTATGAAAATTCGACCAAACGTTATTTCTGGAAAATGTCATTTCGGAGTACTGATAGAAGTGACATCTTCGTTGAGTAATCTATGTGATGACGAGCATTCGAGTGACATTTATAAATAAAGACTGACAAACTATTCTTTCGAATCCAAACCGCCTACACTTGTTGTTTCATACTTTCAGTCGTGACTATAGTACTTCGAAGTCTACCACGAACATCGAGTATATAACCGGAAATAGAGACGAAATGTCGTTTAACTATTCTGCCAAATCATTACGGGGACAACTGCGCTCCGATTGGCCAGCTCGAATTCGAAAGAATTGACGGGTGTCGTCAATTGTTTCACTTCAAATCGATCAGTTTAACTTGCTATAATGGATGAAAATTGAAAATTTATATACATAATATTTAATTACCGATGAAATGATTCAGTTTCTTTTGCAGTTTTTCCCACACCACCGAATGGAACAGCCCTCATTGTTAGAGATATTATCTTTATTAAAACTACGTTAGGAATTAGGGAGACGTACACACAGGTCAGTTGTTGGCGCTGTACTATTTCAGCTTTCTAATGTTGATTTCAGCGCAAACGAGAGTTGATATTTAAAAGTGATATAAGGCCCATTTGCCTGATAAGTTGCCAGGGATGGATGGCACTTATATCGTCTCTATTTCTGGTTATATACTCGATGACCACGGATTACTACTACGTGACAACGAAGCTCATATGACAGCTATCGTATTGAATTTTCACATTACTTTCATAGTAAAACTAACATTTGTAGTACGTATGACCTTCGTTGTCACCTAGCATCGTATTTTGTGGTAGACCTCCTATAATGTTCCAAAGATAGTTTACTTATAAAGATTTCTATCGATTCTGCGTTTGGAATGGAGTCATTAAAGACTTTATTCGAATCAATTTCCATGTTTAAAGGCCATATTTCAACACAAAACTTCCAGTATTACGTGATATTCGAACGATACTAATAGTGTGTTGTTTTCACGTATTATTTTTTCGCACCTGAAGAAAATTTGGTGGTTTAATTTAAATTTAATAAAATTCCAGAGGATAACAACCATTGCGTTTCAAATAGGGAAAATATAAACAACTTCTTTCTTGTCTAGCGTCTACAGGGCTATCAAAGTGTTATTGTTCGCCATAGACATGTTCGCGACTTTGGAGATAATTTGCGGGACTCAATTACCTACTAATTAAGGATTAAAATTGTATTGGAAATGGACTTATTAATACGGACCTTCATCAATCTAATTTATAACATTGTCAGTTTAATAGGAACGGTAATGTTCTGTCCAAAATTCATGCAATAATTTATAGCTGAAGTAGAAATGTAACTCATACGATAAAGCTCCTAAGGACGATAACTCTTTAAAGATAATTCAAACTCTATGGATGTTCAAACACAATTCCTTTACAATTTCGAGGATAATGGATCTAATGTATGGTTAAAAAACCATAATTTTACCTTTATAGCACTTCATAGCAGCGATACACTTCTTATAGTACTTGTCTGCTGCCTCTATGACGTCATCCACGTCTTTTCTGACTAATTCGTTTGCTGGCTTGTCTTCGAGTAGACCTCTGGCTACAAAAGCTATGCAGCCAGTGTGGGCACCTGGAAATGGGTTATAATGAGTAATAGCAAATGAAATCCATCCACTAATCTTAGCGTCCCTAATGGCTATGTGTGCCAAAGAAATAACCACTAGCACAAAAATGAGTTTTTTTTATAATATCAAGTGAAGGCACGAACAAGTTATGACCCTGGTGGCGAGCTACACGCCTGTCCATAACAGTTACAGTGCCACTCAGAGCACATATCTGATCGGCACGGCTACTGCGCCAAGTTGACAAGTCCCATGTGCCTGTAATTTTTCCAGCACCCTTACCCTTCAAAACTGTAATGCTGACATTACTGCTTAACAGCAGGAATAGGTAAGGTGGTAGTACTAGACTGGACGAACTCTTTCACAGGAAGCTCTACTAAAAAGTTCTTTTTTATGATATCATGTGTAACAAATAAGTCGTGCGCCGGATGGTTAGTGACACGCAAGTCCAGATAGATTTAAGGAACTCAGGCACTGTCCAATCAGCCTGAGACATAAGTTGACGTCAACAAGTCCCACGTCCCTCTAATTTTACCAGCATCCTTACTTACCCTTCAACCGAAAGCATTAACAAGTACATCCCTGGACGAACTCTTCCGCAAGCCGCTTTACTGCTACTAAAGAAATGCGTAGGTAACAAAAAAAGAACCGCTAGATAATTCAGCCTGTATAATCAAAAGGTTACCAGTGATATAGTCAAGTGATTCTGACAATGTTCAGAGGAATTTAAACCTTAGAAACCATGTAATTAGTTTACAGGATTTGACAAGCGTGACGGACAGCCCAAATCCTTTAGAGGACAACATACCTTGTAAATCAGGTAAATATTTCTTGTTGTTGCAAGAACGGCTAATGCCTTGGAGCATCATCTTGTTTTTATCCACTTGCCCAAAGTTGTTCCATACCTACAATCAAGAGACAATGCTAATATTATACTAGAGACTGAGTCAGTTTTTGACACAGAATACAGTAGAAGTGGTTAGTTAGCATCCGACGCGTGCCAATTAAAGGTCTCGAAAGACCTATCCGAGTATGGTTGTGTCATTCTTTCGTGCAAATTCTCTAAAATCTTAGAAAAATGCCTTATAGTGCTGTTTCGGAGTACAAAAATGATAGCTGCACTTCTTCAAAAACTCTTATTTTAACAAATTTTCTGTTCATTGAAATATTTGTTTGTTACAGGAAACGAAAGCAAATCTTATTATACTCCTTCAATATGGTCGCTTATTGTTTGGAGAACTAAATTAATAGTTCCAATTCGTCGTCGTTCAGCAATAACCCGCTAGATGGCAGCACATGGATTGAAATTTCAATATAATATCAAAACGTCGTAACTTGTAACAATAGCTATTGATGGTATTGAACGTTCAACGATATGACAACAGAGTAAAGTTTTAAATTATATTAACAATCCAGATTTTTTTATTTCTTTTTAAATTTGAAACTGTGACCAATCAATATCAAGATTTTGTAGTGTTTCAAATAAAGAATGTGTGAGTTTTGACGACATCGGTTCTGATAGTAATGGACACTTAAGGCACTTCCAAAATCTTAAAGTACGCGTGGTACGGGCGGAGGGACAGTTTACGTAACGGCTATGCCCCGCAGCACAAGGAATAATTTCAACAAGATTTTTCTGACGATATTCAGTAACAAGTTGATGAGATGAGATCCGTTGATGATCCATAATGAGATGGACCTACCTTCCTTAAAGTATGACCTTCGGCGAGGGTAAACTGCGCGGCCTCTTCTGGCGTTATTCTTGGCAGCTTCGGACGTCGTCTCTTGCGACGCGCCCAGGGAGGAATCCAGCGGTGCAAGGTTAAAGGCGGGTATTCTATTTCCTGTTAAAAAAATTTTTCATTATTTTGTAAGACGTAAAGATGTGCACGAAAGCAGCCTCCTCGCATGACGTACCATTCCTTCCTGTACGCTTGGCGCATCCGTGGATAACAAATATAATAACAACCACGATAGCAAACAATGTAGTGTAAGCAATTAAGTAATATTCGTAGTAGCAGTAGAGCTCCTTGTGAACGAGTTCGTCTAGGGAAGTACTGCCACCTTACCTATTTCTGTCACCAAGCAGTAATATCAGCATTACTGTGTTCCGGTTTTCAACGGTAAGGGTGCTGGTGAAATTACAGGCACATGGGACTTGTCAACTTACATAGGGCGCACTATAACTTTCTGGAACTGGCCACTTACATAAACAATATTTAAAAAGTAATTACAACATTTGAAAATGGAACTCTTTGGCTGTAGAATACAGTTTGTTTCATCTGACTGTCACTTGTTTTTACATTGTGGCGTCATTTTAGAAATTGGTTATCTACATCACCAAGGATTTGGATGGATTTAACTCGTGCAAAATTTTCTCATTCATTTATTATGATTTTCTACGACTTTAAGTGTAATTGACAGCTCAGCGGAGCTTCGCTCGGGTTCAAAGTGCTTTTGGCGATGAAGCACCAGGCAAGACGACTATTTACTACTACGACTATTTTTGCAGAATTTAAACGCGGTCGTGTGAATCTCAGTGACGAATTTCGTGATGGTCACCCGTCCACTGCTGTGAACAACAGAAACATCGATGCTGTGCGCCGTATGATCAAAACATACAAACAATGTGACATACCATGAGATAGGCAAAAGTCAAATACAATCAATTACACAAACATTAGGGTGTGAAAAAGCTGTCCTGTCGGTTGATCCCACACAATTTGTCTGAAGCTCAAAAAATGGATCGCATCACTTGGTGCAATGCCATGCTTACCAGATTCAACGAAGCGGCGTCAAATTTGGTGTGGGACATAGTAACAGATGACGAAACATGGATTTATAGTGACGATCCCAAAACAAAGCAATCGAGTGTATCGAGATGAGTCGAAACCAACCAAAGTGGCGCGCGTGCAAAGTACATCTAAGCGGATAATTGCCTCTTTTTTTAATAAAACTGGACACGTGGCTACTTTTGCTTTGGAGAATCGTTGTACCCTGAATAGCGATTGGTACACGACCATTTGTTTGCCGGAAGTTATTGACAAACTCCGGAAAAAATAACCATAAAGGCCGTATCATATTGCACCACAATAATGCCAGTTCTCATACAGCCAGACCGACAAATGAATTTTTGAAGGTGAACAACGCTGACCTTATGGGCCATCCAGCGTACAGTCCCGATCTGGCACCTTGTGACTTATTTATTTCCAAAAATTTAAGAACCAGTTACGCGGTCACATTTTCATCACCTGAAGAGGCTGTCGAAGAGTATAAAAAATATTTTTCAGAGATTGTCACGGAAGAGTGGCAGAAATGTTTTCAAAATTGATTCATTCGTATGAAAAAGTGCATTAACGCTAATAGTGAATATTTTGAGAAACAATAAATTAATTTCTGACCATTTATAGTATTTTTTTCTTATTCATTCCAGAAACATATAGTGCGCCCCACGTATGTCTCAGGTAGATAGGCGCAGTGCCTCTCAAACTTTCCGATTTAAAGCTCTGAGTGGCACAGTAAATGCTATGAGCTGGAGTCAGGCAAACGACAAAGATACACTAGAATACAAAAGTATTGTTATTAGCGAAGAAAACTTTTCAAAAATTTTCAAATTCCCGAAGTTGTGCCAGATTTCTCCGGAACTGCGCAATCTTTTTTTTTTGGTTCATACCTAATTTATACGTCACATAATTGGCAGGTATTATTGTAATCATCATGCTATGGTTACAATTTGCTTTGATTCCGTTTTTTTGCAGCTATGTGAGTTGAGCATAATCCCAGCATATGAGTTAATAGAAAGAATACTGACCACTCTAGGCATTTTTTGAGGGGGTCCGGGTGGGTGCCACGGCTTGGTGTGGATCTTCACCTTGGTCACTTCAGGCCATTGACGCTTGAATCTATTCCGGCGTTGCAAAGCTCGAAACTCTGCTTCCCTGGAAAGCAAGTCACAAAATCTTTTTACTGCAAATGATACCTTACGCCTTGTTCAGAGTGGCGGCGGGCGCGGGTGCGTGTATATCAATATAGAAGCTCGTTGCGTTCACGGACAGGCGGATGCGGGCGCCGTTGAGATCTATTGGCTCGATCAGTCCGTACCTTTTACAATACTTGATCTAGCGTTTTTTATTTCGGCGTGTGGATCTACCCGCTCGTAGCCGATTTGGCACTGTGAGAGTGGACACGCCAATGAACTAAATGAGCCCTGCGTCATACGACAAAGTAGAATTACATGCCACATGTATATGCGTTAAAACAGCGCACGGCGGGAACGCGTGCGCATCGGACAAGAGACCAGGAGACGAAGCGGAGAGGGGTGAGTATGCGGCGTTACGTTGCGATACCGCATTCCTCGTATGGCAAGGCGACGACATAACGCACCGGCAGCGCCCTTGTGGCATCACTCGATACACCACTCTTACACAAAATCTAAAATATTAACCTATTCAAATTATAAATATTACTGCGTTATTAACAGTGATCGGAACTGAGGGAGTTATAATTTATGGTACAAACGGTTAAGACCTTATTACATTCCATAGATTCACGTCAACTTAATTTCTATACAATACACATAATATGATGTACTTTTATTATCGAAATGCTCATAGAAACAGTTCGACAGCAAGTGACTTTTCAGAGCATTTGCGAACACGTAATTATTTTCAATGTTTCTTATTCTAAGAGGTATTTTGTTATAAACTTTTATTGCCATATTGTGTGCACCCGAGCTAACAATTTCTAAATTTGTAAAAGAACCAATCAATTTGTTTCGCGGTCTCAAATTAGCTACATAAGGATTATTATTTTCTTGTCCAAATAGGTGCCTGTATTTTCCTTGAAGTTATTTTATCTAAACTAAAGAATAACGTGGACATTCCCTTTTAAAATCAGGCACGTCTCTGAACTGATTATATATAAATAATTATGTATATTATTTAAGTAAATTTCACTACATTGGCAACATATTATTTCATATTGCTACAAATTATATTGTCTCAAAAAATAATATTATAGTTGTGTCTCTATTTTGGACTGTTTAAAAAATAAACAGCAAAAAAAAAGAATTTCATTGACGACTAAATGGGTAAGTCGCTACTAAGAAAACGTTCGTACTTTAGTTAAATTAACTCCCTCGATTCCAATCATTGGTTAATATAAGCCACCGAAAACTTTTGTGCAAATAAAAATACAAACTCAACCGAATGAAATACTGAAAGTTCCGAAAAGCCTTGCTTACGTAATACTTCTCAATCAACTTCATTTATTAAATATTTTACAGAAAACAATTGTCAACCATTTTTATCGTAAATCACATAAAAGAGTTCTTTTTAAATTCGAGTCCACTCCACTCAGGTCGTTTGTAGACCACCGAGTCGTGCAAAATTCAGTGAAGTTTATAAATGTACCCCCGGACTGAGATTTTTTTTACAACACTAATTGTAATTTTTACAAGCTCTTGATTTTTTGCAAATTATTTGACTGTTTATTTAACAGTAACTCATTTTATCGCGGCTTAGTTCGTATTACAGTTAGCCTTTTTCGGAACTCATTTTTTGGAACCTTTATTATTTCCCATTTGTCAATCTCCGACTGTAGTTTTTATTCACTTACTCTCTTTTTATTTCAGACGGAGTCATATGCATTGCCGTATCTGATTCCGATTCTGGCTGATGTTGTTGTTTCTTTGATCTGTCATCTTTTTTAGCTTTTTCATGAAATAAAAAAATTATATTAGAACGAATTCATTTGCAACATTATCACTGTAATTTGATCTAATAAGCTAGTCTGCGCCTTGTATAAAGCGAGGGTAGGGGCAATGTTTCTTCTATTAATTGTTATTTAATCGGTATTCTGGAGCTGCTACCCTCCATTCATCATTTTTCATTTCGTATGTGGAGATCACTCCTTTTTTTTGTAGGTACACCTGAACATAGGAATTCTCTGCAATTTTTTTCTTTTGTTAAAAACATGGACGAACGGACCTTTCCAAGACTAGAGGAATTAGATATGTACCCGTGGTCTGACTGACTACATCAAACTTGAAACAATGAATATACCTAACTCTATTATTGAGACTATATAAATACATACTCATTTAGTCTATTTTGTAAAAAAAAAAAAGGTTTTTATGCACACAGACCCCACGCAACAAGAAGTTTAAGTTTTTTAAGCCTTTGCCTTCGACATAAAAAAATTACTATATTAAAGGAACTATTTATTCTGGGTATGGTAGGGTATAATCATCGAGTATATAACCAGAAATAGAGACGAAATGTCATTTAATTTGTTTGAAAACTATTCTGCCAAATCATTATGATGACAACTGCGCTCCGATTGGCCAGCCCGAATGCGAAACAATCAGGTTAACTTGAGCTTTACTATAATGGATGAAAATTGAAAAAATTACACGTTCAATATTTAATTACCTATGAAATATGTTATTCAGTTTGTTTTGTAATTAGATGTTTTGCTGTTTTTCTCAGAACACCGAAAGAGTTGATATTTAAAAGTGATGTAAGGCCCGTTTCCCTGACGAGTTGCCAGAAATGGATTGCCATTATTTCGTCTCTATTTCTGGTCATATACTCGATGGTTGTATTGTTGTGTGTCCTCCGATGATGGAGAGGGGAAGGCAGAATCAAATTATGCACTTCCATCATCAGAAGTTCAGCAGACTACCATAGACTACTAATATGGAAAAATAACAACATATTCTTTTAGCAAATTATCCTAACATGTCAAATATTACTTTTAATGTGTTTTTTTTTACTTTTTTTTGTTACACATCTTCCTCGCTTTGGTCTTTTAGTATTTCCTCACATTGTTTGAGAAAAGCACTACACAAGCCTCGGCGGGAACAGAGAACTTGCTCATCCAGCAATCCCTTATATCCCGGCCTCTGCAGTAATGTACTATAAATCGCTCTCCTGTACTATTTTCCAAATGCACGTAAGACGTTTTACCTTTTCAGCGTCGATATGATACATTACACAACCTGCCAAAACGATGTTCGAACTAAACGTATTACCTTTTTTCTTGTGACGATCATCAACTTCTTCTTTACTCCTTTCATCTTTCAACTTCCTCTTTTTATCCGGGGCATCGCCACCGGCGGCGTTTCTGCAACCATTCGCCAATAAATGTAAAAGTGTTTGTAGAGCTTCTTTATGAAATGGTTCGTCCAGGGAAGTACTGCCACCTTACCTAATTTCTGCCGCCAATCAGCATTACTGTATTCCGGTTTTCAAGAGTAAGGGTGCAGGTGAAATTACAGGCGCATGGAACTTGTGAACTTATGTCTCAGGGTGAAGGCCGCAGTAGCAGTGCCCCTCAGATCTTTGCGATTTAAAGCTCTGAGTGGCTCTACAACTGCCATGGCCAGACGAGTCGCTTAACACCAAGCGCGACGTGTTCGTCCTGCCACTTGATATCATAAAAAAAGAACACTCAGACCAAATTTGGTTTGTTTTTTTCATAAGAGTGTGAACCCACTTACGTCCTTTTTCGGTCATATTTCTCCCCGGCATATCCACTTTTGAACTCGTCGTCAGGCATATTTCACGCTCTCATACTTTCGCTTCGCTCATCCACTGTTTAGATTCCTACAATAAAAAAATATCAATAATATAAAAACAAAGTATTTTTTTTATGATGTCAAGGGATGGACCAAGCAAGTCGTGATCTTTAAAATAAAATAAATACTAATAAAAAGACATTTATCTATCCATAAAACACTTAAACATAACAGAACAATTATAACAAAGAATCGTAATGTGGATAAAAAGGATAAAGACTCAGCATTGCTGATTTTTAGGCTTCATCAAAAAAGCTATTCGCTTGCTGCATCAGACCAGCAAGCGGAGTGTAGTATACATACTAAATACCAAGAAATTAATAGAAGAAGAGCTCTGAAGAGCTGTTCAACCTCATCCCCCCTTCCCCGTTCCTGCTCAGAAGCAC